AAGATCATATACGGAGCTACTTATTTAGGTTCTATGTGCTATGGTGCACCTGTATGGGCCGATAGGGCGACCGTAGGCGCTGTCCGTCGCAAACTGTTACAAGGCCATCGACTTGCACTGATATTCTTGTGTAAGGCATATGGGACGGTTAGCACTGAGGCTTTGCCGGTGTTGGCGGGTGTGCTTCCGGTCGATCTCGAGGTGCAGAGACGTGCAGCCATGTACTATTCAAGACAACAAAACATGGAATGCGATTTTTTGGGCGCGCGGGATCGCGGTAAAATTACAAGATTGCTTCAACAGCAGCTCGATGTCTATAACGACCTCATAAACGAATGGCAACAACGCTGGGATGAATCATCCAAGGAGCGCCATCTTTACCAATTCTTTCCATCTGTTCGCGAACGGTTGTCGAGGATATGGCTTGAGGTGGATCACTGTGTCGCTCAATTTCTTACGGGTCATGGTAACTTTAAGAGCAAGCTTTATTCATTTAAATTAGTCGAGTCACCATTGTGTTTTAACTACCTAACTGAGGTGTTGTTTAGAGATGAAATGAATACTCGGTTTAGGCAGTTAACTAAAGTTTATTGTATCACACGACACATACATGAAATATACAAAAGGGTTAACCAGGCGGGCGGAGTCGGGTGCGCGTATAAATGCGTGATCGCTATCGTGGCTAGTAACCGACTGCCTGTCGCGTCTCTGCGGCCGCCTGGCTTCGTACGGAAAATGCTAACATAACATAATAGCTTAGGGCTGTCGACACAATAGCATAGGGCTGTCGCCACAGTACTCCCCCCCTTTTTGAAAAATGTGGGACACATTTGTTAAGCAAGAGAAAAAAAAAATGAAGGAATAAAAATGTATTACTATTTCACAATCCAAAGTTACTAGCGGAACCCCAATGAATAATGTATACAATGCAATCAGAACGCTGATGCGTCATTCTGTGTGCGACGCCCTTGTTTATATTAAGTAAGTACTTAAGTAATACAATACCTTTTATAGTTACAATGTAAAAATGTGGTGCGTGTTCTATTTATAGCATGACAAATAAAATGATTCGTCTACATCTTTAACTCGAACAGCGGTATATTCATTGCCGTTATATGGGTAACAATCTTATAGAAAGAAATAGCACTTTAATACACCGGAGCTTGTGCTCTCGGTGCCGCTGTATTTGGAGCGGGCGGTAACTTATTGACTGCATTCTGCAACCACTTATTAGCACGGTTTTTACACTTCACCATGATGAAATAACACAATAACAATACTAATATGCCTCCGCATATCATTAGCCCGACTCCAACATAATTGAGTTTGCTCTCAACTTGATTCGATATGGTTTTAACTGTTGCTATTGCTATAGCATCGTGGGAGTCCTTGTTCTCTTCTTTGCTTTGGCCCCAGCCCATTTTATCTGTTAAAATGTAGTGAAAAATTTTCCTTCAAGTAGTGAAATTGATAACTGTTTCGGGCTGTTGTTGATTCCTTAATAACTTGAATATTTAAGTTTAATACAACAGAGAACGATGACTCTCATGAATTTGCAGAATTGCGCTCTACTTTAATGTTACATAGTTCGCAGTTTATTTGTTCAATCAGTAATGCAATAAAATATTTTACGTGCCGTCTTGTTTTAATTTACAATGTATTAATTTACTGTTATGCTTATGTTTAATGTGCCCTGTTTATTGCTATAGGGCGTTGAATTACATTCGTTGATTAATGCTTGAGAACAGGCCTCCTCTCACCACGAGAGGGTTTGCTAGAACTAAATACTTAATTAGAGTTGCGGGACCCGTGTTTCAGGGCCCGACTTTACGTTCTTAACCTAAAAAAAGGATATATATTTGGGGGAATGCATAGAATAACTAAAGCGATGGTAGCCGCCGTGCAGGACCTACTCTGCAATATTTAATTAGACTCCTGACAGTATCCCTGCACGGGGCGCCGACATTGAAATGAAATACAAAGCGTGCCTATGGATTAACATTACTGTAAGGGACTTAATTATCGAATAAATATCTAACTGGTCTATTTATGACTCGACCTCTACGTGTAGTACGTGTCACTGGAGGTGCCGGGTAAAGTGCGTTTTGAGGTGACGGGGGCCTGCTTGGGGTGGGACGTGGTGTAGTTTGTCGCTCCTCGTCCTGGGTACTGGAATTAATTAAGAAAGCTGGCTTCAATCTATCTATTGAGACTTCCGCTTGCCTGTTTGGAAGCTGCACTTTGAAAAATTTCTTATTTCTAGTGATGATTCTAAATGGGCCATCATAGTTCGGAGTTAGTGGTCGCTTTACTGCGTCGTTACGGATGAAAACATGTGAGCAAGTGTCGAGGTCTTTATGGACGAAAATTTTTCTGTACTCTCTGTTCCTAGCTGGGATTGGTTTAATGTTTTTAATTGTTTCCCTTAATTTTTCTACATAAGAGTACTGATCGAGATTAGTGATTGGCGCGCTCGAGTAGAAATCTCCTGGAAGCCTGATCACTTGCCCATATGTCATTTCTGCTGCACTTACCTCGTTGTCCGTTCTGCCTGCCGCTCTTAAACCTAACAAAACTGTTGGGAGTTCCTCCAGCCATGATTCGTTGTCTATGAGCCTTGCTGTTAGCGCTACTTTTAATGATCTGTGCCATCTTTCAACGATGCCGTTACTCATGGGATGATAGCTTGTTGTGCGTAGCCTCTGGACTCCCAAAAGTTTCATTAGCCCTGCAAACAATTCGCTCTCGAACTGTCTCCCTTGGTCTGTGGTAACGTACAACGTACAAAGCCTTCGCTACCGTCTCCGCGGTCATATCTTTAATGGGCACCGCCTCCGGCCAGCGTGTGCCTCTGTCAATCATCGTGACGAGGTACCTATGACCTAGTTCCGTTTTTGGTAACGGGCCTACCAAGTCGATGTGTACGTGTTCGAATCTGCCCGCGCTGTGAAATTGCCCTAAGTCTGAAACTACGTGACGGCCTACTTTGCTTCGCTGACACTCCACGCACTGTCTCGCCCAGATCCCTGAATCTCTATTCATTCCAGGCCAATAAAATCTCTGCGCTAGCAGTCTCCTCGACGTCCTAATGCCTGGGTGACTTAAATTGTGAACCGCCTGGAATACTAATTTTCTAAAACTGCTAGGTACATACGGACGCGGTGTGCCGGTGGTCATTTCGCAATAAATTCGTTTGTCTGAGTCAGGTAGCGACAATGTTGCAAAACGTGACTCTATGTTTACTGACTGTGTAATTTGAGTATCCTGCGCCTGAGCTGTGGCTAGTTCGGCGAAGTCGATAGTTGTTGGGCACGTTATTGTTTCCACCCGCGATAACGCGTCAGCAACTGTATTCTCAGTACCGTCTATGTACCTAATGCTATTTGTAAATTCACTTATAAACATAAGCTGCCTAGCCCTTCTAGGCGTTTCTCTAGCCGTACCTATCTTTTGGAGAGCGAAAGTCAATGGTTTGTGGTCTGTATAGACGATTAGTTCCCCACCTTCTATTAGGTACCTGAAATGATTTATGGACAGATAGATAGCTAGTAACTCGCGATCGAAAGTGCTGTACTTTTTTTGCGCCTCCGAGAATGCTTTTGAAAAATAACCTAAAGGTTTCCACACATTATTTAACTTTTGTTGTAGCACTCCGCCTGCCGCGTTGTTTGACGCGTCGGTCATGAGCGCTAGCGGTACGCCCGGTACTGGGTATGCTAGGGTAGCGGCGCGTTTTAGGCTCTGTTTGCTTTGTATGAAAGCCGCGTTTGCTTCATCGTCCCAGTGAATTTTGGTCTGGTCGTGTTTCTTAGTGTTATGCAGAAATTTATTTAAATGCTTCTGAGTGCTTGCCGCCTGCTTGATGTGAGCACGGTAAAAAATTATCATGCCTAGAAAACGTCGAAGCTGTTCGACGTTTTCTGGCTTTGGGAAATCGATTATGGCTTGCACCCTGTCTCGCAATGGTTTGATACCTGAATTCGATACTTCAAATCCTAAAAATTTGACTGTTTTCTGACCGAAACTGCATTTACTTAAATTAATTGTGATGCCAAATTTTTGGAAAATGTCTAAAATTTTGTGTAAATGCTCCCTGTGTGCTTTTTCTGTCTCGGAGGCAATAATTATGTCGTCTATATAACAGAAAAGGGAGGATTTGGAGCCCCATTTGTCTGTGATTGATTCTATGTTTTGCAAAATGGAATTCATAAACCTTTGGAACGTTTGGGCCGCGTTCCGCAGACCAAAAATCATCCGGGGAAACTCGAATAACCCGAATGGCGTTATAATTGCCGTTTTTTCCACATCCTCAGGAGCCATTTCGATTGCGTGGTACGCCCTATTTATATCTAGTGTGGTGTATATTTTCTTACCTGCCATGCCGTAAGTGAAATCCTGCAGTCTGGGGATAGGGTAGCGATCAGGCTTGGTGATCGCGTTGAGTCGCCTGTAGTCGCCACACGTCCTGATTTGCCCGTCCTTCTTGGGGACGACGTGTAGTGGGCTGGCCCAAGGGCTGTTGCTCGGCCTGCAGATTCCTAGTTCCTGCATTACCTTAAATTCCTGTTTAACCTTCTCGTATCGGTGCGGCGGTAATGGCCTCGCTCGCACATATACCGGCGGCCCCGTGGTTTCTATGTGATGCTTGACTGCATGTCTGGTTTGGTGGTGTCTGGATAACAATCCAGGATGTCGCGGTAAGGATGGGATGATTGAACAGTGTTAATTGATTGCCCGGCACGCACTAGTGACCCGTGTACACATGTTTTTACATTCATATCTACTAACCTCTTCATTCGCAAATCTACTGCTAAATTATTTGTCCTTAAAAAATCGGCCCCCAGGATCGGTTGCTTGACGTCACATAACACAAATGTCCACACTATTGTTCTATTTAACCCAATGTCTAGGTCGAACGACGTTGTACCGTAAGTCTTTATTTCAGTGTTATTTGCCGCGTACAGCTTATAATCGCACTTTACACGTTTGCCTACACTGACCTTGCTTGCGGGTATTACGGATACGTTTGCGCCGGTGTCTACTAGGAATGATATGCCGTTTTTTCGATCTTGGATGCACAGGCGGTGGTTGTCTAAAAACGACGCGCCCCCCACTGCCGCTACAGGGCGCGTCGGTTTTAGTTTTCCTGTTGTCTTTGCCAACTCGCTGGACCTTGCCGCTGATAACCGACAGGGGGGGGGGTGGTGGTCTGCTTCTCCAGTCACAGGGTTGCTGACAGTTCCTCGCGAACTTTTCGAATCGCTGGTGGTATGCGCATAACCTTCTCCGTTGCCGTTGTTGTGGAGGTCTGAATGACGTTGTGGCTCCTCTGCCTGCTGACCAGTTTGTTCTTGTCCTCTCTTGGCTTCTGATTTGCTGTACCTCGCCGCGCAGCTGCTCGAAATTCTCCGTCATTCTCTTTGTCTCATGTATCAGGTTGCTATCCTTTGCCTCTTCTTTTACTTCCGCTATAACCCCCTGTTTGATGGTCTGATGTACCTTATCCGCAATCGCCCCGAGTTTTTCCGCGTCTAACTGTTCGTGAGCCACTAAAGCTGTTCTTACGGGTGTGGGTAATCTCCTTAGCCATAGCATCTTTACCGTGGACAATGCTACACCTGCATTTTTGCCTGCCTCGGCCATCCGTCTGAATAGCTGCGATGGCCTCTGTTCCCCGATTTGCAGGTCATCCATAAGCTTATTAAATTGCGTGTCCGGTGTATCCTGGAATTCATTAATCAGCCTGGCCTTGAGTGCGTCGTAACTCTTCTGCGTGTCGTCTAGTAAATCACTGACGTAGACTAATTCCTCTTTTCCAAGTTTCCCGATCACCAGGTCAAACTTGGTGTCTTGGCCGACCTTTTGTGGTGTGATTATGGCCTCGAATTGCGCGAACCACAATTTTGGAAGTTCCCTCCAGAACGGGGCGATCCTGCTTGCCACACTAATTGAGTGTAATAGGCTATTTGACAACATTGAAAATATTCTCTAAATTATGGCCATCCTAGTAGATAAAAGGATAGAAAAGCATAATTTATTTTATTTTACACTATTTGGTGTAAAGTTTTAAGCAAATTTAGCGAAATAAATTTAATTTTTTTTTAATCATTTTATCTCGGACGGGAACGTCCTGTGATTGGACACAAATTTGTGACGACACCGCAATGGTCACAAGTGTCAAAAGTGAACCATAGATTAAAAGATATGAAGTAAACAAAACAAAAATCTTAATTTGTGGATTCCTTCAACCGATGTTAAGTGCGCATTTATGTGTTTTTTTTAAGTGTTTTAGTTATTTCTAAAAGTATTTTTTAATAGATTCAGAAAGAAGTGGTATTAATATCTATACAAATCGCAAAATGGAGTCAAATTTTGTACGAGCTGATAGCAGAACTCTTCCTAAAATAGACGCGTTTATGGTTGCACTTTTCTTTAAGAATAACGCTGATTATTATGCTGCGGAACTTAAAAATGTGAAAACAGCAGTGTAAGTATGACGTACAAATCATTTATTTGCTAATATTTTAAATAACTTAACAAAATTGTAACATATCTCTTAGGTTATGGAACGTGTAAATAACTTTTTTTAATGGTCTTTCTTTTGTTTCACAGGTCTGCAAGGGAGTCCTATGGAGATGATGCGATTGGATATGTCCAACTATACCGGCAACTCGGAGTTTGTACAGTTAAGTGTAAAATGTGCCCGGAACATAAAGTGAGAAACACTGGTTATAATGTGACATTAGTTGTTGACGAAAACGAAAACGAAGTTATTAGTTGTCAGTGCCACGACTGTGCTGCTTCAGCTGGAGGATGCAAGCATGCAGTTGCTTTTTTGATGTGGGTCCATCGTCGCTCCGAAGAGCCTGCATGTACTTCCGTAGAATGCTATTGGAGGAAACCTACTTTATCTCGTATAGGGACTACTCTCAAGTACATAACTGCACAGCATTTGGCTAAAAAGAAAGTTCCATCCAGACCAAGTTCAATGGAACTATATGCACGATTTCTTCCAGAAGCCAAAAGAAGAAAAGTTGAGAGCTGTGAATTGCTAAGGTATCAGAATGATTTTATACACAAAATAACACAGTACTCATTGCACTGTTTTATAATGGACCAATCTCCAGAAATTAAGATAAACATAGATAAACTTATAGATGTCATGAAAGCAACATTTACTGAAACTGTGCTATGTACCATTGAACAAGCGACAAGGGGGCAGAACAAGAGCAGCTTATGGTATGAGTTGCGATATGGCCGTATTACAGCATCAAAGGCTCATGAAGCTAGTGTCTGTCATACAAAAGATGGTTCCTTGGTGGCTGCTATAATGGGTGCAAAAATTCCCGATACAGCTGCTATGAATAGAGGCAGACAATTGGAGCTATCTGTCAGAAAGACTATCTCTAAGATATTAAAAAAAACAATTACTTCATGTGGGCTTTATGTATGTCAAGAGTATCCAATGATTGCAGCGTCTCCTGATGGCTTAATGAAAGATGGTGTTGTTGAAATAAAATGCCCTACTAAGGCAAAAGCTAAGGACAGGTATATAAAAAATGGTACTATAACTGAAAAGTTCAAGGCACAGGTGCAACTGCAAATGTATGCAACTGGTGTACAAAAATGTTATTTTTGTATTGCTGATAGCAACTTTGAGGAAACAAAAAATGTTGATATAATTTTAGTCACATATAATAGTGACTATATTAATAATTTATTAAGTAAGTTAGTTGCTTTTTGGAAAACAAATATGTACCCTATTTTGTACAATAACACCAGATTTTGATATGTAAATAAAAAACCATTCCGTGATTCTTGTTTTATTGCTTTTATTTATTTATTTAGCCAGTTAAACTGGGTGAGATTAATCGTTATGACTGTATTGTTTGATTCATTTGGCTATAGGATGTCTCTCAACTCAGTGTGCCTTTTGGCAAAGACCTCAACCAGTAGTTTTCATTGCTTCCTGTCTTGAGCAACTCTCCTCCATTTGGGTCCCGCAGTAAGTTTCAGCTCATCTTCCCAGCACATTTGTTGTCGTCCGCGACATTTCTTGCCATCTCTTGGATATATTTTAATTTGGTTTTTGCTCTTAGTTGCACATTGCTTTATTCTGTATTTGTTTTGTTTTACCGGTTCTTGTTGTTGTTGTTTTTATAAGTTTATGTGTGTTTGATAGTTTTTTGAACTTTCCGAGAATGTAGTAGAAGTAGTTCTGTCTCTTCCCATGTACTGTAATATGTTTGGTTTCAATATTACTTTTTGTCCAATGGTCTTCACTTTATTTGGTGGGTTTTCGGGCTTGTTATGAGTGTTAGGTTTTTTCAGTGTTGGTAAGTTGGGGGATACAGTTTTATCTCTCTTCCTTTGCTTATTAATTACAAGTTGGTCTCCTCTCATAAAAGCTATGGTTCTCGTTTTCCATGCTTCCTCAACTTTTGACTGTAATTTTTTCCGAGCTTCAAGGACATCCTTGGGGAAGTCCTCTTTGACATAGATGCCTGTTGGTAATTTTTATTTAGATTTTAATATGAGATGTTTCTTCCACATAGTAGAGAAAGTAACAACTACAGGGCGATTTTTGCTGGTTTGTGCTCCAATTCTGTAGATATTGTTTATTTCGTTTTATTGCTTTATGTTTTCATTATTCAGGTACCTATAGTATTTATTTAATAAGAGAATCCTGTAAATTTATTAAAGCACATGCAATAATAATGATATGGTCAAGTATACCAATGAAGTTAGTGTTTATCACTGAATGTTGCTTTAGCATATGGAATTCTCTTAATCGCCTTATCACTCTCTCAATGTGAATTCTTAAGCTAGCGATCATTTTTGTTTGTCGAACCTCCATTTTCGATAACTTTGTACCAGCATTTACACTGGGTGGCCTTACTAGTTTCATGCCTTTTACCTGTAGTAACTGTTCTAGGTTCTTGAAGCCTCTGTCTGCTAAAATGCAAGTTCCTTGTGGTAATGTGTCTAGAAAGTCACAGTTTTCCACTACAACAATGTCACTTGTTCTGCCACCAAATCCTTGGGAAACATAATTAACTAGACCATTAGGCGTGCAGGATATTAGGTACTTTAGAGTGTTCCCTTTTTTATACTCTGACCAAGTCAGTGCCTGATGAAGAGCCTTTGATGGTTTCTGTACATCAATTTCTAGACAATCAATAATGCAAGTAACATTGTGAAAGTGGTGTCTAAATGCAATAGGAAGATTCTTTTTTATTAATTTTTTATCTAAACTTACAATAAATGGTTTTAAAATGCTACTTATAATAGGTATATTTGCTAGAAATATTTTACTAGCATAGGATATTGATACGCCAAAATGATCTTCTAATTCAGAAAATGTGCTATTTTGTCTAATTTTTTTAAGCATAGCAAAATGTGTTCTATTTTTATGTTGGTCACTTCATGCATCATCTGAACTATAAAATAACATTCTTTAGTTATACCAACATACATTAAGGGTTTTCTTTTGATTAAGTGCATATAATGTTTAAGGTACTGCAATTTTTCAATATTTTCAATATTATCTGTATCAGAGTCAGTAACTTTTGGTGATGATGTAGCCACAAAAGGTGAATAATTATCACTTTCAATACAAGAAATATCACTACTAGATTTTTCTTCCTGCGAGACTATATTTCTCTTTATTGCTTTAATTGCTTCTGACTGTGAAGGTTGAAGATAACATGGTTCGATCTTAAATGGCGAAGTGAAACGAGATGTAGTTGACACTTTTAGTGGTGAAGTAGAAATATTTTTACTCGAACATTTTGTTTGCACAGCTTTGCTCCGATAATATACTTTCTGTTTTGTAGTAACTTGAACAGCTTTTTCAACATTTAAGATAGGTTCAGTGTTTGTTCCTTTGTCTTTGGTTGTTTGAGACTTTGTTGATGCTGAAAAGATAAATATTCAAAGTTAATTACCTACTTCATTTGAATGAAATAAAAAACATAATAACACAGAACATAGTACCAACCATCAGTCTCAATAGTGTCCAAATTTCTTTCATTTTGTGAGCTTTCAGTGTTCATTCCAGTAGCACTTAGACAGTCTGTGACAAGATCAATTCTTTGCCTCTTAGCTGATGCTTCTGGAGAAGGTCCTGCAGCAGATAGCCTTCTTTTGCGTTCCACTTGACATTTAAGTTTAGAGGGCACTGCCTTATCTGCCAAAAGTATCCTTTGACTAAAGCCCATTTTAAATTTCATGTAATTGATTGTATCATTTTCCATCTGCAATTCAACATTATTGTCGTTATAACAAGTATCTTTTATTCGGTTTGGAAATAAGGGATAATATATTTTAAATTACAAAAGAGAACAGGAAGATGAACAATTCACATAATAGAAAACATTTGATATCCTACAAAAGCGAGTGTTGCGGTATGTAGCAGATTGAGAAGGAGTATTTCAACTTATGCTGTAAGTTTTGGTCATACTAAGAGAGGTTAAGTACCTAAAGAGTACCTAGTTAATAAGGAGGTTTCGGCCTACTATACCACGCTGGCCAGGCGGGTTGGTATCATAGGATTTGTGTCCAGTTTTCCTTCTCTTTGTAGTGCTGTTGTCCTGCGTAGTTTGCTCCCGCCATCGGCTCTTACGACACAAACGGGCTTTAAGGTAAGATATTTGTATATCCTTATGTAAACAACAATATTTTCAACTGAATAATAAATAAGTACTTACGTCAAGGTGATCTTCACACATGAAAACATTTGAAAGTGATGCGATACTGTTTGGGTCTCTTCCAGCTAATTGTAACCACAGTTTTCGTCTTTTGGGATCCGTTGGCACAGAAACAAACAGTTTGTGTGGAGTACTTTTAGATGTATTCTTACATGTTGACACTACACACCATTTATACGCCATTTTATCTAATATATCTTAACAAAAATAATGAAACTCACTTTATAACATAACCACGTCAGTACTGTTTTGTTTATAACACATATCACATATCATAACATATGTCAATTGCGTTACGTCATGATCTTGGCGTCTTGTCTCCCCCCTCTTGCCCTTCAGTAGGTTGCTAGCGTGTGACGTCAGGGCACGTTTTTGCCGCGGTTTTAAAATTTAAACTTCAATAGCGATTTTTAAATGTAAATAGATCTAATTTCTCAGAAATATTAATGTACTATGTACAATATCATGTATAGAAAGAATCTAAAACATTTTCTAAACTTAGTCAAATAGCCTATTGCGCCGAACTTTCTTCCTCGTGGTCACTCATTTTCACAGTGCGTTTCTTATTTGTTTCGTACAAAACTAAGGCGTTTGATTGCGGCCGGATGCGCGTAATTCGATATTGCCACCCGCCTGGTTACGTTTAAGACGTCGGGGTCACCACTTTAACTACCTAACTGAGGTGTTGTTTAGAGATGGAATGAATACTCGGTTTAGGCAGTTAACTAAAGTTTATTGTATCACACGACACATACATGAAATATACAAAAGGGTTAACCAGGCGGGCGGAGTCGGGTGCGCGTATAAATGCGTGATCGCTATCGTGGCTAGTAACCGACTGCCTGTCGCGTCTCTGCGTCCGCCTGGCTTCGTACGGAAAATGCTAACATAACATAATAGCTTAGGGCTGTCGACACAATAGCATAGGGCTGTCGCCACAGTGTCAATGCTCAACACCTAACTCTCACTATGAACAGTCTGCTCATCATATCCTCTGGGAATGTAGTCTTTGGTATAATGAACGTAATATAATGCTGAATAGCTTGCAGGTGACATCTGGGGCGGTATACTATGGGGATCTTGTGTCAACTAGGGTGAATTTCCGTGCGTTTAGGCGATTCTGCCATACATATTATAGAAATCAATCATAGCTCACGTAGGACCCGTAATATTTGTGGCCGTGGTGTTTCCCTGTTTAAAAGGGTGTATGCCCTTTTTACTTCATTTTGTCTCCCGCTTTGCTAAGGAGGGAAGTGGATTTACTGTATTTCCAACTCCTCCAATTTTCTTCTGATTAATTTCGTTGCGGGTTCCAAGACAGTTTAATTTCTTCCTGGGACTTCCCGAGTGTCATAACTCGGTGTGTTCGCGGGTCACTGCTGTGGATCCTGGTGTACAGGAGTTACAGCGGTGGGCGTGTGGGTGGGATTAGTCCCAGTTTAAAAATTGGTTTGAGATATTGCTTCAAATGCTACATTTTTCAGAACAAGATGAGGAGAACAAAGCTGATCGATTACACCGGGTAAGAAATTTATTGAATGTAATGAATCACAATTTTAAGGAAAACTACATCCCTGGTGAGGATTTATGCATCGACGAGAGTGTTGTGCCTTTTCGAGGACGCATAATCTTTCGTCAGTATAATAAACAAAAGCGTCATAAATATGGAGTAAAACTATTTAAATTATGTATATTGCCAGGTTATACCTATAAAATTAACGTTTATGCTGGCAAACAAAATGACGAAATTAACACTACACCTACAAATGTAGTTATGGAACTATGTAATGACTTGATCGACAAAGGGCACACTCTTTTCACAGACAATTGGTACACAAATATTGAATTGGCAAGAAAGTTGTTAGATAGAGAGACACATCTTGTCGGAACGTTAAGAAAAAACAGGAGACATTTTCCTAAAACAATAGTTTCTACGAAGTTAAAAAGAGGGCAATTTATTGCTAAAGAAAGTGCTGATGGAATAACAGTGATGCGATGGAAGGATAAACGAGATGTCTTGGTTTTGTCCACAAAACACTCTACGCGTTTTGTGAGAGCGGTAAAGCGTAACAAAGTTATCCCAAAACCTGCAATTATTGTCGACTATAATAAAGCCAAAGGTGCTGTTGATTTGTCAGATCAAATGTCAGCGTACCAAACACCACTTAGGAAAACTGTGAAGTGGTACAAAAAAGTGGCCATAGACTTGATTTTGAATGTAGCTGTTGTAAATGCACTCACTCTCTACAAAAGTGTAACAAAGAAGAACATTCCTATTGTAGATTTTAGAAAAGAAATTATGACAGATTTCCTAACAAAAGGCATAACGTCCGAACCTCTTTCATCGAGACCGAAGAGAGCTAAACATGAACTGGCGAAAAAAGAAGGATCATCTAAAGTCGTTCGACGTCAATGCCAACAATGTTGGCATTGACGTCGAACGACGCTTAGTAGCAAGGAATAAAACAAAGAAAGTCACTACTTTTTGCAAAACCTGTCCTAATGAACCTTTTTTATGTCCCGAATGTTTTATTAAAATTCATTAAATTTTATGTCAACTTTTTTTTTCTGTATCCTATTTTTTCAATAAACTTTCTATGCGCATCAAAATTGTTTTATTTGCACTCTATACCTATATTATAAAGAGGAAATATTGGTCTTTGGTATTCGATATAAGTCCATTACAGTGAAAATTAGAGCTCTGAAGTAAAAAACGAAATTTAATTTTAGACTTGTCTTGTTTGCAAAACCAAGTCAAGGAAGACAAAATGCAGAGCCGCGCGGGTCCCCTGTCATACAAAATTGAAAGACTTTTCTGTCCGTTGGCCTACAGTCGCAGTTTAAAAACACGTCAGACGCGCGGTCACCATTGGGCGACGCGGCTCGAACAGAAATTATTGTTGTCGCCCAACAGTGACCGCCACGGCCTGAATGAAAAAGACATGTTTTGTAATTGGCAGAGAACGTGTTAAATTAATTAGAAACTCTTTTGAACGAAAGAGATTATTGTTTGATGGAAATGACCAGAAAATTAAATGGCAGCTCCTTATTAATTTAATTAACCTCCAGCAAAATGAAGGCCTTCAGTTTGCTAATAAATTAACGCCCCGTCATGTACATTTTCGTAATCAAATTATGAAAGTGAAACTCGCCACACAGCTTTTAAGTATGAGTGTTGCTAAAGCACTAACTCTTTGTGAAGAAGAATTAAAATCTACACAATTTCAGGATTCCGTGGGTACAGCAAAATTTATTACTTTGATGAATAATTTCTTTGATACGATGAATTCTAGAAAGTCTCAATTTTACGGATACAAACGTCCTATAGATCATAAAAACAAATCTGCGATTTTTGCATTACTAGATGAAGTCAAGACATATATACTACAACTTAAATTTCATTCCAAATCAAAAAGAGTGATTAGAAGAAGGAATCAGATACCCAGAATAATAATACAGATAACTAAAAAAAATATTGTTAAGTCTTCAAATAAAACAGGATTTTTGGGTGCCGTCATATGTATTGAGTCGATGAAAACATTATATAACCACATAGTAGAAGAAAAAAAGTATCTAGACTACATATCTATGTATCGCATAAGTCAGGATCACTTAGAACTTCTTTTTGGGTTAATAAGGAAGCACGGTGGCTACAATAATAACCCAAATGTACTACAGCTTAGAGCTGCATACAAAAAAATGTTAAGTCACCTTGAACTGCGGTCATCTTTCACAGGAAATCGCATTCCTTTAGACAATTTCAGCATTTTACATTATTCGTCTCAAAATGTCATCAATAGCACAACAAACTGTAATAGACACGATCCTCTTGAATATGAAGTTTTGGAAAGTACGAGAGCTCTTGAAACTGATATAGAGGCTGAAAATAATTGTAATATTTTCGCAAATATGCTGGACGATGAAAATGTAACGGAAGCTTCTAAAATAATAGTTGGTTACATTTCTGGATATGTAAGCACTCGGTTGACCAAAGAGGTAAAATGCGAGGAATGTATTGATAGTTTGACCACGACACAGAAACTTCCGCATCATAAACTAATAAGTATAAAAGATATGGGTGGTTTATGCTACTCTACTGAAAATGTTTATAAAATTTGTTTATCGACGGAAATGGTTATACGTCGTTTAATTCGGTGCAGTGGTGAAAATGGCCTGTCATCTAAATACGACTACAACTATATTACAACTAATGCATTGAAATGTTTTGTTGAGAAAGACGTATTCGTTTGTTTACTTGGTCATTCATTTGATCAACCTTCTACATTAAATCACAGAGTGCATCTAATACGTGCAATAATAAACAAATATACAACTGTTCGATTGCATCACGAGGCAAAGATAACAAATGATTATACGAGCAAACGCCAAAAGCTAACTAAACTAATATTGTTTAAAGGCAATTAAATAATAATTTGTGTTGATTTATTTTGAATTTGTGTAATAAACATTTATATTAAATTGAAACGATAGATTTTTATTTCAATTCGTTTATTTATTTAATGATAAGGCAGAGTACTAAATAGTAGTAGGTACAAAAGTTGTGTCACTTCTGCGTTGTAAAATCTATGGGAGCGACTTGTTGTTACACTACGTTGAACAAAGCGCGTAAGCGCGATGAAATTTCCGGGCGCTTATGACATTTTGGTCGCGAGAAAACTATTCCCTTTAAGCGATCTAGCGCTGCATGTTTGAATAGTTTTGTTAGATGACATAACTATTGTTTTAGCGCTGCAGCGAACTTTAGTTCTAACTCTTACCTAAATGAAGCACACTTTTAGTTCGGGGTGTCTGTTCTATACGCTAGTAGTATAGTTCAATGGCCGTAATATGCCGCACGCAGATCCACGTTTTTTTTTATCAGTTACTGAAATAATTGAGAACTCAACGAAACTCATTCAGTACCGTAATAATATATTATCTACTATACGAGTGTATATTACGGTTTTCAATGATTTTCGTTAAGTGCAAATCAAATCGGTGCTATACATTGCTATTATTTCTTCTTTTCTATACATATTTTTTTCGATTTGTTTTTGGTTTTAAACAATAGTTGTTTTCTTAGATGTTGATAATTATCTAAACAAAGAAGATTTGAAATGGCCATGGAAGGAAACGCACTTCGTGAAACTGAATGCATGTACCGTGTGTGGCTTGCCTATCAATCCAAAGCTGCTTCCTCATTTTTTTCGCCGCACTACATTGATATACAAAAAAACCCAAGATACACAGTCAGGATATCAAAACCGTCCGCATAAAATGAGCGCTAAACTCCAAATTGAGCGCTCATTTCAAATAGTCTCGCATCGCCCGTGTTTATGCACGCACTTCAAAAATGCCAAAGTGTTCTATGAAAAATTGCAAAAATAATACGTCAAGAACTTTAAAAAAGGATGGAATATCTTATTTTCGGTAAGTAAAATAGTTTATTGATTTGCTTTTCTGGTTTTCATGACTAAATATAGGAAGTATTATGTGATTTTGATTTATTTTATCTAAAATCTTCACTTAACGGTCCAATATAGTACAGCACATTTCAATAGGTTCGTATCAGTGTAAGAACAACGCATTACAACGTCCTTTAAATTAGTCGCTTAATACAAATGACCCTGTTCGTTTCCAATGGAGTCGATTTTTTAATATTGAACTATTTTTTTTATTAATAAGAATAATAAGTTTGTTCACGTTTTGACTTTATTTGAGTGTAATTTGTAACTAATGTTTATATATCATACAATATAACATAGTTTCGAATCGACTTTCAAAAGTTGAAGAGGCAGTCATGTTGACTATACAACTACTAGACTACTTTTTTTTAATTTTCTGTATATTTCGATTACTTAGGACTTCTGATTTTTGTAGGTATGTACCTCCTATATGATTTCTAATTTTAATATTTTAGTTTTCCTCGTGACCCAATACGATGTGAAGAGTGGAAATCAATCGTCAGTCAGCAAAGGCGTGAAGATTTTTTTAAGCCAAATAGATCAAGTGTAGTTTGTTCAGAACATTTTTTGGACGAAGATATGTATGTCACTGCAAAAGGCATAAAACGTGTTCTTAAAACGGCTGTTCCTCGTGTAGCGGTAAGTAACTATGGGTACCCAGAAAATAGTTTGTCGAATTAGTATCGTTATTAGGTACCTCTTGATTCGAATAATTATTTTTAATAATCATATCTTTTCAAGTCCTTAAGATTGTAAGTAACTACAGTGAAGAAGGAACGGAACTTTATTTCCGTTTTACAATAAAATGTTACTTTTTATTCTTATAGTTACTTATCACTTTAATGTTGCTTACAGATTGAACCGGACAATGGCGATGATACTGAAGTTGGTCCTACTATGTTCGTTTTAGATAACAAAAAGGAATTCAAATCTCCTACTACTTCTCTAAGTATAGGCTCAATTTTGGATACACCTCGAAAAGTTACTATAAAAGCGAACTGCACAAATGCCGCAGAAGGCTAATTAGTAATAAAAAAGTAATTGACAACTTAAGGAAAAAAAAATCTAGGCTTATTAAAAAAACATTTCACTAAAGAATGCACTAAAGTTAAAAAAAAAAAAAAATTTGACTCAAGTTTATGTCAAGATCTATCCAATCATATAACCCCATCTGAATCGTTCAATTCTAGTTTTTTAAAGAATGTAATAAAGAAGAAGAGATATTCTAAGTATCCTCCACAGGTCAGGAAATTTGCATTAACTCTACATTTCTATTTCTAGAGGAAACGCACCATGGAGAAAGGAGAATAATATTTTCTCATGACAAAGTATATGTATATAATTTCCAAGCAAATACAGAAATAGTCGGATTACTTGTTTGTATTGAAAGTGTACAACGTTTATATGCTAGTTATGTGGAAACCGGTTATTTGTCATATATATTAACCTATACGTTTAACCAGGATCATGTGGAGCTCTTCTTTGGCAATATAAGGAGCCAAGGAGGGTTCAATAATAATCACAATTCACGCGAATTTAAATCCGCGTATAAAAAACTTTTAATGCATCTTGAACTCGGTTCCAAATTTACAGGCAATTCTGTTCCTTTGGAAAATATGCCTATTTTGAATTATGGGGCAACTGTATCAAACATTAACCACACTAGCGTTGGATATCGTTTTGATATAGAAAACGAATATTTGGCAGTCGAAGATAGCAGTTATGACACATATCAAAATAATTGTGATATCTTATCAGATTCATTAAATCATTCCAGCTCTGAATATGTTAATCAAATTGTTGGATACATTGCGGGGTTTGTGGTCAGACATATTTAAAAAAAAATTAAATGTGACATCTGCAAAGATGCTACATTAGCTCGAAATAAATTATAGTTTCATAAACTAATTGATTCGAAGGATTTTGGTGGACTATGTTACGCTAGTGAAGATTTTTAAAAAAATATGTTACATTTAAATCTATTTTCTAGTATTGATACACATTCCCTTCAACAACCTGCCTTATTCAATCACAAAATTAGTTTGACAAAAGCTATTATAGAAAAGTTCATAGATGTTCGTTTACATTATATAGCAAAAAAAAACTACAGAAAATCTGAAATCTAGTTCAAAAAGACAACTCTACAACAAACTTAACTTATTCCAAGGAAATTAATGTGTTTTTCTATCCTCGTTTACACGTATACATTCAATTTTTTGTTGGAAATATTTTTGTAAGATCCGACTTAGTAGCAACAATATTATTTTTACTGTACGGTCCAGCCCTTTCGGTGATTACTTGGAACAAACAGACACATAAAAATTGTAATTTTGATAATGTACTTATCGTTAAATATATAATGTAAATATATTCATATTATGTAATCATATTATACGACTTAGTAGCAACAATGTTATTTTTACTGTATGGTCCTGCACTTTATTTATTTATGTCATTTTACATATAAGAAGCATCACTCATCACCACCAACTTAAAGAAGGTTAGTCAAACGTACCACCTGGCGACGAAACGATAGCGTCCCTATATGCCATATATATGAAAAATATCCTTATTTTTTAAGGTCATAAAAAACACAACAAATATATTTTTAAGTACTCGCAATAAAAAGTTATCTTTGTTTTAGTTTTTTGTAATTTTTTCGTATATTAGTTTCAGAACGCACCTATAAACGATTCACTTCGCGTATGAAATGATTTGTTGCAACACAATTTAATTTTTCCAAATTCAATTTATAATCAAGATAATGAAAACAAGATAATGATATGTGATGGGACTTATATTTATATTACTAAAAGCTCTAATTATATGTTCCAAAAGGACACTTATTCATTACATAAGTATAGGAACTTGTTAAAACCGTTTTTGCTGGTGGCACCTGATGGCTACATTGTAAACTGCTTTGGCCCACATCTGATGCAAATATAATGAAGTCTCTTTTCAGAGATGAAAACTCTTCTCTCAGACGATACTTCCAAAATAATGATATTTTTATTGTAGACAGGGGATTTAGAGACTCAATTAGTTTGTTAGAGGCTTGCAGCTACAAAACATATATGCCAGAATCCCTGCTTGAGGGTGAACAACAGCTCACCACCGAGCAAGCTAACAGGAGTCGGTGTGTGACTATATGCCGTTGGGTGGTAGAAGTGGTTAAAGGATACTTCAAAAGAGATTTTAAAATATTCCGGCAAGATTTTTTTAATAAAACGGTTCCTCACATGATGCAAATGTTTTCCATAGGTGCAAGCCTTTTAAATAAATTCGGTGTTCGTTTAAAAAATAGGAATGATGCTGAGCAAATCATAAATGTGATTAGGGAACGATTTCCATTAAATAATAATTTATCAGATTTTATAAACACTATGAATATGAATAGACGAACATCTGATTTTACTAGTATAACAGCTCATTCCAATACTAATATTATATTCCCTCGTCTAGAATATAGTGAAGTTATATTATTTGCCCTAGGGACATACCAGATCCGACAGGCAAGGTCCTATTATAGTGAACATGTCAGGTTTCACGGAGGGTATCGAATTGAAATAAGCAGAGAAAACATTAATGTAGCAGAGTATCGTTTGAGAGGAAGTGGAAATAATTCGCTAATAAGAGGCAAAATTAAATCCAGACACATTTCGAGAAAAGTATATTATGTTTATATACTAATTGAAAATAATGTCCCTGGAAGGGAAGCTATAATAGAGTATTGCTGTAATTGTCTAGTTGGTAGAAGAACGGTTGGGTGCTGTGCACATGTTATGACTCTTGTGTGGTATCTTGGGTGGGCCAGGCATCAGCCGACAATATCAGCGCCAGCAGCATTCCTCGACGCTGTAGTTGTAAGAGAAGATGATGATTAAAAAGTATTATCGTGAAGCCTTCATTTCTTTCATTTAAATACTCCTAAATCCATTACACTTCATTTACTCCTGTATCCTACCAGTACTTGATTTGTCGATATCTATTCAAATTGAGCATTGAAGACTGAAGACAGTAGGTAGTGTGTGTGTGTGTGTGTGTGGTAGCGACTAACTCTCTTCAGCCAGAATTGAAGTGGTTAAATAAAAAAAAAAGCCTTGAAGTCTTTCAGAAAGACTTCACGTGTAATGTTATGCGGTAGGTGTAGGTGTGCCTTGTTAGGTGCAGTTTTCATTGAATTATCGGTCAAAATCTTGTCACAAGTCGGCTTTCCAGACAGCCCTTTTTGACATCCAACTAAGAGTTTGACAGATGTTCTATTTTTTGGGAAATTCTCTGAGAGAAATCGCAACAAATAGAAACGAGATCGCTAATTATCCTCCTTGCTTATCGCTAAGTACACTTTTATGCTACGCCACAGTCGGATAAAAGGTAGTTGTTGATTCTAACCTCAAAAGTATAGTTGACGTATTTTAAAAAAAATGCTACTTTTTAGATATGATTTTCAAACGGGATGATGTTTTCAACATAGAACAAACCAATCTAAATAAAGCTTATTTTGGGACATGAAAAATAAAAGTAAGGTCCAGCTCCTATAGAAATCTGACCATTGTTCTTTGATGCATGATACCAAAATTCGAAAAGCTTTCACCACCAATACGCAATCATCATAAACTAAATATCTAGGTACTTAGTTTCTACAATATTACCTTTTCAAATAAATATTTTTTAATGGTTAACATTTGTTTTATTGATAAATACATGTTCCACTCAAAAATATATATACACTGAGATAAAAGTATAATTATAAGTTGAGAACATATTTTTATAAATTATTAAAATATTAAGTGAACGTAGTATAAAAATAAAAAGTATAAACATAATGAAGTCTCCATTCCATGCCTTGTCCTACCAGCAGACTTCGGTCGTAAAATTTTATTGCTTTTTGTACACTGCTTTGTAAAAAGAGCTTTATATCATGTGCGTAAGGTTGAATTTGCAAAAAAATATGTTTATAACATAACTATAACTACTCTATAGTAGAATTATTTTCTCCGTGCAGTTTGGGTCATAAATAGTCGGAGCGGTGAAGCGAGTATTTCGTTCTCTCTTCCACTCACGAGCCTTATGGGCAGGCATAGTGATGCGCATTATTGTTGTCGATAAGCGTTATCGATAGTGTATTTAGTTTTGTCATTTTGTGGGTTAGTGACAAAAATTAAAAAAAAATAGATAAAACAACGTATTTATTAAAATAAGAATAATAATAAAAGATAAGATATAATATTGTAATAAAAGAATAAATTATTAGTATGTATTGTTATAAGTACAATAGTTAAGAATGTAAAAAGTTATGTTAAGAATAAATATAAATACTTATACCTATATTTAAAATGAAAATATTATTTTTAATAAATTCTGCCGTTTTGGTACAAAACAAAGGAGTAGCCATTGTGTCACTAAAGAAATTCAGAGAGCGAATGCACAAAAACACATTTCTCTTCGACATATGTACTATAATTTGCAGTGGGGAACAACAAATGACTTATAACATAACAATGTCTCACCACCTTTGTATACCGCTCCGCCGCCGTGTACCTGCCTTTGATGACTCATTTGTTCTTATCGATAGTGGCGTTGCGCCCGCGCAACATGCTCACCGCCCTAGCCGGGCCGGGGCCGAGCTATGGTTTATGACCCAAACTGCACGGAGAAAATAATTCTACTATAGTGTGATTGGAGACAGATTCAAGTGTTACTTTAGTTCGAGACTGTGTATCTTGGGTTTTTTTGTATATCAATGCCGCACTAACATAAATATTACTTTTCAAGTGCTATTTAACGCTAAACTTTTTTGCCACAGGTGTCTGTCCGCTATTTATGACCATTACCCGAGCGATGAATGCCAATTCTGTGCTGTATAGTCAGTGGCTTGATGTTTAAAACTTATTAAATACGTTCTTAGTATAAAACTTAACTAGTAGTTTCAATGCTGGATGCCACTTATTTGTCTTTAACACACAATTAAGAACAATTCAATATTCATATGCGAAGTATAGATACACGAGTAATGGTTTGGAGTTTTTTTTTTTCCTTTAAAAAAGACAACGCCCGGCGTAGTACGAAGCGGCGTGATGACCGCTTAAACCACTACGCCATCCGTGCAGTGATTAGGAGCAGTGATTAGATTAGAGCCTAACATAAAATTGGTTATGGCCCTCCTATTATTTCGAATTCTAAAATCTCTTTTGAACAATCTAGTGTGATTTATAGTGGACATGGGAATAAAGATAGAAAATTTTATGCTCTAACACTTGTAGATGGAGTCAAAAGAAATGGATCGTGGCTGTACAGGGACACCACCCCCGATAATCATGGCCTTGCCGGTGCAATTATCGCCACATGAAACTTTAAGAGTTCCATCTTATGAACACGTTCTACTACATACAACTGATTCTGGATATATTCAGGTAAACTTATAAATTACACAAAGAAAAGTTATATTTAGGTATTATATTTTTATTTTATTAATCATTGGGAGAGGCCTATGTCCAGCAGTGGACAAGCATAGGCTGAGGTATGATTATATTTTTACGAAATAGAATTCCATTCCGAATCGCGAAGTTCAATAAATGAGGAGGTAGAGCCCAGGAGACTCGACTTTAATGAAGAAGAGAATTCGCCTTCCTTTGTGGTCAGTTGTTAATTGAACTGTTTTTAAATATTAAAATAACCAATAAATATTTATTTAAATTTTGCCTTTTGTTCTAGATGTGTGATGATGAATATTTACCGCCTTCTTTAACTGAGGCCTTAGCGGTAGATTCTAGTAGCGAAATAGATGAATCGGAAGACTATGATGCAATCGATCTACGTCAGATTTTAGAGGAAGAAGTAGTGGCAGAAGATGTTGAATTACTCCAAGGACATGAAAGGGTGCCAGAAAATGTGATAACTTGGTGCGAAAATTTTGACGAATTCACTGGCGTTGAAGAGTGTTATCATGAGCAATCTGGCCCCACTATTCAGGAAACTTCTTTCAACTTTAAAATATATTCAAGGCTATTTGGGATCGGGATGGAAATGATAGTAGATCAGACTAATAAATATACTTGGCAAATTATAGCTCGTGCAAGTGAAGACGGCATCAGTAATGGGTCGCGTCTAAACGATTGGGATGAGACTACGGTGGAAGAGTTATATCATTTTTTCTCTATCTTAATTTACATGTCACTATGTAAAAGAGGTAGGCTCGATGAATATTGGACTACAGGAGTACTGGGTATGCCACGCTTTAGAAAAATTATGAGTAAAAATAAATTTATTTTACTATTACGATTTTTACACTTTACCGATAATGACTATCTCATAGACTCCATTCGCGGATATGAGCGAAAAATATATAAAATAGTTCCAATCGTAGAGCACTGCAATAGAAAAGTCGCTGAAATATATATCCCTCGCCAAGCCCTTGGCATAGATGAGTCTCTTTTGTTGTGGAAAGGGCACACCTATCTTGGATACAGTGTATACGGACAAAAGCAGCAAGATTCGGTATTAAATCTTATGAGCTATGTGAAGCGGAAACGGGCTACCTATTAATTTTTTAATATATGCGGTCAAAAAACAAGATTCGGGACAAGCTGTGCATGGTTTTACAAACTCAACTTCCAAAGTTGTACTCAAGTTGTCAAAGGATTACCTTGATAAAGGTCATTGTCTATATATGGACAACTTTTACAACTCTGTAGGCTTAGCACGTTTTTTAAAGAATAGACGCACAGACGTTGTAGGGACACTCAATCGCAACAGATTAGAAACCCCGTCTAATATTAAAAATTTAAACGAACGTCAAATGCAAAGTGGAGACATTGTTGCTGCACACTGCGGCAATGTTTCAGTTGTAGCCTGGAAAGATGTAAAATTGGTAACAATGATTTCAACTTTCCATAAAAATGACACAGCTCCAAGTTCAACCACAAGTCCTTCACAAATTGCCTAGCCAGATACGCCAATCTTTTACCCAGCGTAGTAAGTGCCTCATCAACAAGATAGGTTTTGTAGGTCCAGGCAGCTGAATGAAATTATCTTTAGAATGTGTAGTGGGTAAAGCTTACCATAATGTGGTTTTTTGATTCATTCCTGTTTTTCAAGCGATAAATATCCTGAATATCAGAGTCCGTTATGGGATGCTTTATCACCTCACCAACCCTCTTGACAACCGATCGCAAAGCTACCTTATTCTCATCAGGTTGTTTTGGAATATTCCTTATCTCAATAGCAGACGCACGCGAGTGCCGTTCAAGGTGTTCAATCCTGTTCTCAAGCCAAGTTATTTTCAGCTCATGCTCCCTGTTTGTCTGTGCCAGATGGGACACTTTTTCTATCATCTCGTCATACTTTGAGGACAAAAAGTCAATACTCTTTAAAATCTCAGTATTCTGCTCCTTGATACTCAGCACCGTCTCAAGAAGCTTCTCCAATTTCGAGTTGTGCTTGGCATCGAAAGAAGCCAACAACTCATCTATATGGTCTAGAATTGCTGTGTTGTCAGACGTTTTGTCGTCGAGTTTGCGTTTAAGCCTGCGCGTAACATTTGCAGACAGACTAACTGAGTCGAGTTCATGGGTAACAGAAGTATACAACTGAGAATCAGACCCGTAGCTCCAAACAGGAGTAATTTTTAAGTTAGGTTGATTAGTCACCTGAGGAGGAGTGCGTTGAATAGACATCGCACGTAAGCAAACAAGCGCTACGAGGGGTGATCAATAAGTAATGATAATCAATATGAAACAGAACTATTAGATTAAAAAAAGTATTTTATTTTTCAACATAGTCTCCTTGCAAGTTAATACATTTAGTGTATCTTTTTTCTAAGCCCATGATTCCCTTAGAAAAAAATTCTTTGTCTTGACCCTCCCAAAATGCCTCTACTGCGGCCATCACTTCACTATTTTCCTCAAATTTGTTGCCCCGGGGGTGTTCTTTGAGTCGAGGAAAGAGGTAGAAGTCACTGGGAGCTAGATCTGGCGAATAGGGAGGGTTTTCGAGCAGTTCGCACCCCGTTTCTTCAATGGCAGCCATCGCAACTGCGGCTTTGTGAGCCGGGGCGTTGTCTTGGTGAAACAGCACTCCAGCGCGCAGTTTACCGCGTCTTTTTGACTTAATAGCTTCTCGCAATCTTCTTATTTGGCCTGCGTAGTAAGAGCCTGTTATAGTGGCCCCTTTTCCAAATATTCCACCATAATAATTCCTTCTGCATCCCAGAAAACAGACGCCATAACCTTTCCCGCTGAACTTGACACTTTGAATTTCTTCGGCGTTGGTGAGGAAGCTCGTTTCCAAGTCATTGATTGTTGTTTGGTTTCGGGATCAAAGTGGTGGATCCAGGTCTCGTCCATGGTCACAAAACGCGACAAAAAAATTCTTTATCGGCCTGGAACTTTTGAAGATTCACCCTCGAAATGTCGACTCGTTTCTTTTTTTGCTCGTCGGTTAACATTCTCGGTACCCAACGCGCAGAGACCTTTTTCATATGCATTTTGTTGACAATGATTTTTTGAACGCTGCCATAGGAGATCCCTGTGACCTCAGCTACATGCCTTACGGTCACCCTTCGATCGGCCAACACGATATCTTCCACTTTTTTGACGTTTTCTCCAGTAAGGGACGTGGAAGGGCGTCCCTCGCGATGTTCATCTTCAGTGGAGGTTCTGTCCAGCTTAAATTCCTTTGTCCAGCGTGCGACTGTGGAATATGGAGGAGCAGACTCCCCCAATGTTTCCTCTAAGTCGCTGTGTATGTCTTTGGTAGACATTTTTTTCAGGCAGAGGTACTTGATGACAGCTCTTATTTCATTTTTCTCCATTTTGATGTTTTCTCTTCGACAGTTGGTATTCAAATGAATGTATCTCCCGGTAATGGTGTCCTATTTATACATTTTTTTGAAGCTGAAGTAGTGGATATATAAGCAAGCAGAAAAAAAATAATTTGGGTTTTTGTGCGTTCTAGAAATACTCGATTATCATTACTTATTGATCACCCCTCGTAGTTACTTACAGTTGCCTCTTCAATCGTAACGTACGCGCTTTATGAATGACTGGGCGCGGCGATGTGTGTGGAGTACAGGGGGCGGAGATTGCACACAGCCCGAAATAAGAATATCTCGCTTAGATTGGAGGCGTGCGCAGACGCATGCGGTAGGCGGGCTCGCAGAGGTGGCGCACAACTGAAAGCTATCCCTTTTAGAAGATGAGTGTCCTGTTTTAACACCGCGCCACGCCGATCACTTCGCTTTATGTGCTCCTGGTACACTGGTAGATTTTGAGGCACTAATTTAATATTTTAATTTGATTATTTTAACATAAAAATAAAATACAAAGGGGTTTAAATGCACACGACCGTACTCCACGGTATCCGGAGCGGAGGGGAGTACGCTGTACAAGGTACGTTGTACAAGGTACGTTGGAGTGAAAGTCGTTGTTGAACAGATGACTGTATTCATAGCTAAGCGAATACTTGGCAGCTTATCTGGCCAGCTTCGGTGTTTCTTACCTACGAGGATAGCAAGTGGAAATACTAGTAATTTGACACGTCATATGTAAAAACATTCCACAATACCAATAACTATTGAACGGCAAGACCTTTTGAAATCGTATCTGAACCATCAACATCCCATTCGACGACATCTAAAATTATTAATAAACCTTTAGGAACTCAACAGATGATCACTGATTTTGTCACTGGAAGGAGGCCTATTTCCATGCAAAGATCGCAAGCTATGGATAAGCAAGTGGTGAAGTGGATTTCGAAAGGTCACCATTCTTTGCGTATGGTTGATGAACCAGAGCTTAAAAAATTATTCGAAATGGTATTTCTCAAACTTCAGGCTATACTTTGCCTTTTAGAAAAACCTTATCGCAAAGTTTGATTCCAAAATTTTAAAATGAGACAGTAGAATCAGTTCAGACCCAGCTTACTTCTGCCAAAGCAGATTCTGTGACAACTGGTAGTTGGACGTCCGACTACACAAAAGATAGTTACTGTAACGTTGCATTTTGCACCAATACAGGAAAGTTAATTATCGACGTGTTGTTTGTTATTTTGTAGGTTGTTTTGACGAATTGAATAAAACGATGAATTTTCTGACGTTTCAGTAAAGCTCCGAGAGATGGCGTCACAGTCGAGATTTTCTTTATATTATTCTATTTATATTATACAGGGTTACAAGAAAAGTCGTGCTAGATCCGTTAAGGGCGTGGAGTACCCATCATTTCTGACATATTTCACTATGAAACACCCTACCCTAAATTTAACCCTTTTCGAGATAATCGTCTTTTAATTTTTTTATTGAAATTTGCTGATTTTTAGGCTACAACATTTATTTTTGTTTATTTTGTGTATCTTATTATTATTATTTTTGCATTTTTACATGTGTAATAAGATGCTTTAGGACGTCAGTCATTAAAATAGGTCATAAGTTAATTGAATAGATCGTAGTAGACAAGTGAAAGTAAAGAAATAAAAAAAAATATTAGAAAATTATTTTTCTCTAACGGATATCCAAAAACAATATTATGGTAATTGTTCAGCAGATGTTTTTTTAAATATCTACGTTTCATCAGCTATCTAACGAGGTATAACAATCTAGGGTTTGTATTACATTTCGTGGAAAAAAAGTAGTTGGGACGCTCCAGGTAACAGTTCTAACGGTCCCGCGCCTATTGTCCTTCAAGTTAAGACGCACCAAGCGAGCGAGACAAGTGACGATTTATGTAGGTGCGAATGAAAGAAAAAATGTGTAGAGACCGGTTAGGGCTGGGAATACAACAGGGGGCATTGTTTGGTTGTCACTAGTTGTCAGTCTGCTTTTGTGCTTCGTACATAGTAGATGTGATATCGTTTTGCTCTTTTTCTCGACTTGGCTGTGATTCTGGACTATTTCTTCTGATTTGTGACTACTGTGCTTGTTAACCGGACTCTGATTTGTACCTGTGATACGGAAGTGTTGAAGATGACGTCCTACACACCTGAGGAATATGCTGATATGCTTATTTGTACTGATACTGCAATTGTGTGTCTGCGCAAGCTCGCAACGAATACATAACTCGCTACCCTGGTCGTCGAGTGCCGGATGTGGCCGTTTTTGACAGAGTTTATCGAAGACTTCGAGAAACTGGCTCTGTTTTGAGACGAAATACAGACATGGGAAGACCACGAATTGACGACGAAGAACAGGACAATGAGATAGTGCAACGCTTTCGAGCGGATCCGACTACTTCCACTGATATTGTTGCCCGTGATCTGGGACTTTCGCAATGGAGTGTGGTTTACAGTGCATACTGCTGGCCTATACCCGTACCATTACACGCCGGTACACGTTATTGAAGAAGGAGACCCCGCGAGAAGATTGGACTTTTGCAGATTTATGCTAAATGCTGACGTAGAAGACCCAGATTTTCTAAGAAATATGGATTTTCTTTCCTAAGTACCTCTAAGGGCAGAAAGTCCTCTGACTGTAGCCCATTATTTGGATTCACTTGAGATGGGAACCAGGAATGATGGATTACTTACCCCGCCACGACGACAACCACGTGGAGAACAGGAGTGAGCGTTATAGGAATTAGTTTTACCATAGTTCCAAACGGACTGTGCCGGCGTTATCGGTATGTCTTTTGTTGTATTTGAATTTTTACTGGCGTTGTCATAACGGATACTGTGGGCTATTATTATTATGGGAGTAAGTCGTTAGGATAACTACCTTTAATTTCTTTATGTATTAAACAGTCTTTATGCGACTTTTTGTTGAATAAATATAAATTTATAAGCTAGATCATAAAGTCTTTAGTTTGTTTTTGTGAATGGTCACACTGTTTTAATTATTATTAATTTTTGTGTGTTGGCAACTTTGTACATGTATGTCATATTGTCGTTCCTTTTTCTATTGTTTTCTTATGAAGAATAAAAGCGTGTTTGTAACAAATTAAGAATTCTTACTCATTATTAGTAATTTTACCCAAATAACCAATACTTTTAAAGATATTTTACCTTTAATTTCTTTATGTATTAAACAGTTTATGTGACTTTTAAAGATATTTTACCTTTAATTTCTTTGTTGTCTTGTTCTTTTAAAAAATTTTTTAGCTTCTTCTTTATTTTATAGCTTCCCCCCACCCTAGATTAAAGTCTAAGCGCTGACCGAGCTATACCAGGTATTTATTGTATTTGTTATTAGTTGTCTATGTTCATTTAAGCCGGCACCTGGCGCCCGAGATTATTGGTTTTGTTAGAATTTGTGGTGCCGGACCAGTTAGTTCATTCATTTGTATTCAACATAGACATTCATTAGTTAAAAACATATTTTTTTAATTTTTTAATATTACATTACATTGCGGTAACAGCCCATTACATAAATGAAGAGAAGGAATTGTGTTAGTATACATTGGAATGTATTCAATATGAAGATAAGCACACAAGTGAAAATCTAGCAGAATTTTTAAAAGATTGTTTTAGGCGCTGGAATATTAACTTTAAAGTTAGCGCTGTCGTGTCGGATAATGCAGCGAATATAACGGCCGCAATACGTTTGGGAGGGTGGAGGCATATTAGATGCTTTGCCCATCAAATTAACCTAGTTGTTAGGAAAGGCTTAGGAGAAGTCTCACCAATAATCGAGTCAAGAAGATAGTTGAATTTTACGAAAGAATTACTAAAGCAAAATATAAATTAAATGAAATTGAAAATCAATTAGGTCTTCCAGAATTAAGGTTAAAACAAGATATGGAAACACGCCGGAATTCTACGTTCCAAATGTTAGACCGCATTATGAAAAGTAAAGAAGCTGCGGTATCGGCAACGTTTTCAGTGAGGAGCGACTTAATGATTAGCTCTGAAGAATTAACAGTAATTGAACAAATACTTCCAATTTTAAAGCCATTCAATGATATTACAAATGAAATTTCCTCAGAAAAATCGATAACTATTTCAAAAGTAATCGTTTTCTGTAAAATTATGATAAACCATATAACTTGACATCGTGCAGAACCTGTAATTACATCTTACTCAGTTAAATTTATCACTAAAAAACTTTATGATGATATATTTAGGTGATTTGGTGATATCGAATCATCGGTTTTACATAAAAAGCCACGATACTTGATACGATATTTAAAAATAAAAAAAAACGGATTTAACTGCGTTACCAAATATGAAAACGCGGTTAAGGCAATGATCAGGAAAAACATCTGCAAAAGCCAGCGTCTCGATTTCTATTGAAATTGTTTCCTCAGCCAGCCCTCAAATATTGCAGAAGTAAATGACAACCTTTGGCATGATATTGACAAAGAAATCTTGGCAACGGTACCTTGGTATTCTATTGCTCAAGCAATAATTGAAGTGGAAGCTACTAAAAAGAAGACTTAATACCAAAAAAATCGGATCCACTAAAATGGTGGTATGACCGAAAAAAATATAAAATATTTATACCAATATATGTTTAAACGACTATGCATACCCGCTACCTCCGTGCCATAGGATTTTTTTGAAGGCTGGCGATATTTTAAGCCTGAAAAAGTATCACAGCTACTTTTTTACAAGGAAACATGTAAAAAGAGATATCTACTCTGATTACGTGTTGCTATGTAGAACTAATTTATTAAAACTTTCTTTGGTTATTAAAAGAATATACAAAAATTAAGCAATTCAACAAATATAAAAAAAAACCTCATTAATTATTATAAATACAATCGAGTTTTAAATACGCCTTTTAAAGTGAAATATATAACATATTATTTATATTTGTCACTTTAATTTTCAGTCCTAAGCCTGAAGAAAATGTGCCGTAGGCACATAATATAATGTAACAATTAGTCGCCAGGTGCACAGCCGTAGCCCAGGAAGCACCAATCTACCTACCTCACCATCAAGAATAAACGGATAACGCCATCTTCCGGCATTGAACGCAACTAGTATAACAGCAGCCATTAGATCTACCGATCCAATCTTTTAACAGACTTAATAGCGCCATCTATCAATTTATAAAGTCACTATAATGTTGTGGTCATATTTAAATTGTAAATAGGTATCTTATCCCTTTTCTCTGAACATTCATTAATTATTTTGGAAATATTACTGTAAATCATATTCAATTACAAAAGTGTACTTTATAAAATATATAGGTTATATTCTCATTATTATTGTAATGAGTATGTCAATTTATGTCCAGCTTGACCAACAAGAGTAGAAATTAATTAAGGAGGAACTAAAATATTTCCGCAAATGACAACACTACAGCAGCTGTCAAACGTAGTCAAAGTTCGCCGTTTTCGACTTGTTCGAGATTTATTTTGTGATTTTTGGATAAATATACGTTTTATTCAGTGAATCGTTGTTTGAAATGGGTAAAACAATAAAGAGTGGCGCCAGAGAAGTGATATTTAATGTTTTTAAGAGATGTTTGGCGGAATATCATGCTGGAAAACTTCTTACTGAATTGGATGACGTTTACAACAGAATTGCTTCCATGACTGGTATTTATACACTCAAATTTTATATAATATACGTAATTTACGATATAAGTTACAATAATTGTTAGTTAAATGAGTAAGAAAAATCACCACATCGACGTTTTCTACAGATTTAATCTAATTTTAGAGGTTATGTTTAGATCCGCGAAAAGTAGCTTTGTATAGCGCGACTGCATATTTTGGTCGATACACACTTTACATACAATGTTTCATTTTGATTACAGGCAAATCGAAAAGTACTGTCCGACGCATAATTGATGATGGGCTTAAAAACGATGGCAAGTTTTCAACACCTGCAAAGCATAGAAAAGGCCGCCCAAAAATAGAATTAGATGACTTCACTATCTGTGCGATTCGTCAGAAAGTTCAATTTTCATACACTGTACAAAAAATAGCACCAACTCTGCGAAAGTTGATAGCGGTAGCAAGAGAAGAATTAGGTTTTCAAGGGGGCCGTGAGAAATTAAGGCAAGTTTTACATGCCATAGGTTTTTCATATAAAAAATGCTTTACAAATAGAGAAATGCTAATAGAAAAAACAAATATAGCAACAAAGATGGAAAAATATTTGCACACAATCAAACAAAATAGGGATTTGCCTGTGGAGCTCCAAAAACAAATAGTTTACTTGGATGAAAGTTATATTCATGCTTCTTATAATTTGAGAAAATGCTGGCAATTCATAAATATCAAAGGCATAAAGCATGATGTTTCAAAAGGAAAACGTTGGATTATCGTCCATGCTGGAACCGCTAATGGATTTGTCCCCAATGCTTCACTTATATTTAGTGGTAAAAACAAAATGGAAGATTATCATTCAGAAATGAATTCTTACAACTTCACCAAGTGGGTGACTGAAAAATTGATCCCAAACCTTCATGAAGCTTCCATAATTGTCATGGACAATGCGCCATACCATAGTGTGGTTCGGAACAAGGCTCCAACTTCAGCATCCCGAGTAGGTGATATAAAACTGTGGTTGGTAGAAAACAACATCCCATTCGATCCAGCTACAAGAAAACCTGGATTATTAATGCTAGTTAAAAAGCACAAGCCAGAACCGAACCGGTGTACGAAATAGATGAGCTGTTGGGGGAACATGGTCACGAAGTGGTAAGACTTCCACCTTACCACTGTGACCTTAACCCTATAGAGCTCATCTGGGGCATAGCAAAGCAAAAAGTGGCTGTATGTAACATTGGAGCAATCGATATAAAAAAGGCAACTGAGGAAGCCTTTCAAGGCATTACTCCTGAAACATGGAATAAATGTGTTGAACATGTAAAGAAAATTGAACAAGATTACTTTGAAAGAGGAAGAACACTCTATGAAGATATAGACAGACTGGTAATTCATGTTGGAGAGGAAAGTAGTGACAGTAGCTCAAATACTGAAGATGATCAAGATGATGATATTATGTCTGGTGTTGAGTATTTAGACAGTGATTTAGACTAGGATTTATTCAATAAATATTTTGTTATTGTTATATTCTTGTTTGTTTTCCTAATTAAAAAAATTGAAATGCAATATTAATAAATAAATTTAAAAAAATCTGAGTATTAGAGACTGAGATACTATACATATATAGATAAACACACATACTTAAACCTATAAATAGATACCTAATTAACACCCAGACACAGAAAAAACACCTATGTTCATCACACAAATGTTTGTCCTGGATGGGAATCGAACCCACGATTAGACAAGGCAGGGTCCCTATCAAATGCACCAATTGGCCAGTCAAAAATTAAAAGACTTTAATTACAAATTATATAAAAATTACAAGTATCAAATTCATTAAGGTCCTAGTATAGATGTTACCATGTAAACGATAGTGGCGCCCTCATTTTTTGTCAACTCTTTATGGTCAAGCTGTAAGTGTTTCGAATATTTTATATTAATAAGTAAGGGACGTTAGTTTGACTTCCTGATGGCGGTACCTTTTTTGTCCCCTTTTCGGAGAGATGAGAGAGAGAGCTTTTTTGTGTTGGCGTTTGATAATTGTTTTGTGATAAAATATAATAATACCAAGATAGTGCGTGCACGGTGTGTTTCTCATTTTCACTACTGAACACCCCTCACAGTTCAGAAGTGGGATGGAAGAATTCCACGGCCCATATATCCGCGGCATGGGGAGATGGTCGCCAAGCGTTGACTCTGAATAAAATGGCGGCCGCCAGGATGGAAAAGTCCCCTTTTTTTTTCCGCAGTCGTCGTTTTGTGAGTTACCCGCCAACAAAAGGCAAAGAATAACACACCTGGACACAGAGGTTATTCCTAAATTCGATCCAGCGAAGAAAAATGTAAACGTGAAGGGATGGCTTCACAAGATCGATCAACTGGGCGACATATATAACTGGGAAGAAAGGGACAGGGTCTTCGTGATGCAAACTCGTCTACGCGGCGCAGCGCGCGACTGGTACGACGATCTGGAGGATTACAGCGCCACGTAGAGTACTTGGAAAGAATGGCTGACAAAGGCATTTCCACGTACCACCGATTTCGTCGACCGCCTGGAAGAAATGCTGGCACGCCAAAAAGGGAACGAGACCATGACCCGATACTATCATGATAAAATTTCTTTAATGAAGAGGTGTGGGCTCGATGGGGAGAACGCTATGTCGTGCCTCATCCGTGGATTGCCGGTTGAACTGCGTGCGAACGCCAAAGCATGCGGCTACAAGAATCCCGAAAAACTATATTACGGGTTCCTTTCGTCACTCGAAAACTACGGGGCTGTAAAAAACAGACGATCCTCCGACCAGAAACTGATCAAGTCAACTTGGCAACGGGGCTCTGCGACAGGGAACCCTGCTCCGAAGCTGTGCTACAACTGTCAACGAACGGGGCACGAAGCCCGGGATTGCCGCGCTGCATCCGCCACACGCTGCCAAGTCTGCCAGCGCACGGGACACACCGCTAACACCTGCTGGTATGCGGCCGGGGGGAGCTCGCGGGACATGCCGGCGGCGCCACCGCAAAGAAATCAACAGGTACGGCAGGTTTATCATGTTACCACAGAAATTATTTCAGACTTATACCGTAAACAAATTTATATTAAAGGTTTTGAAGCAATCGGCTATATTGATACTGGCAGTAAGGTTAATATAATCACGATGCGAGCTATCGAAAAATCGCAATCATGTGTAATACCCTCAAATGTTGTAATGAGAGGCTTTGGAGGGTTACTTGTAAACTCTCTAGGCAAAGCTTCTATAGATATAGTTATAGATAATATAAATTTACAAACGTGTGCCGAGATAATGAATGCAAACCTCAACGATATAGATTTGTTAATTTGTTAAGAAAGGGAGTTTTTTCAATGGAAATATTATTTTGCCTTTTATGGTATTATTAGTAATGCCTCAGATTTATTTATAAGACGTTTTGGAACCCTGGGATTTAGTTTGCTTCGGAGAGTGGATTTCCTTTCCTAAGTACCTCTAAGGGCAGAAAGTCCTCTGACTGTAGCCCATTATTTGGATTCACTTGGGATGGGAACCAGGAATGATGGATTACTTACCCCGCCACGACGACAACCACGTGGAGAACAGGAGTGAGCGTTATAGGAATTAGTTTTACTACAGTTCCAAACGGACTGTGCCGGCGTTATCGGTATGTCTTTTGTTGTATATGAATTTTTACTGGCGTTGTCATAACGGATACTGTGGGCTATTATTATTATGGGAGTAAGTCGTTAGGATAACTACCTTTAATTTCTTTATGTATTAAACAGTCTTTATGCGACTTTTTTTTGAATAAATATAAATTTATAAGCTAGATCATAAAGTCTTTAGTTTGTTTTTGTGAATGGTCACACTGTTTTAATTATTATTAATTTTTGTGTTGGCAACTTTGTACATGTATGTCATATTGTCGTTCCTTTTTCTATTGTTTTCTTATGAAGAATAAAAGCGTGTTTGTAACAAATTAAGAATTCTTACTCATTATTAGTAATTTTACCCAAATAACCAATACTTTTAAAGATATTTTACCTTTAATTTCTTTAAGTATTAAACAGTCTTTACGTGACTTTTCAAGTCGACTCCTTATGGGATGATCGCACCCATTGGGATTAACAACACCTTATTTTATCTTTAGCTTTTATTATCAAGGTAAACAGATTGCATTAATGACAGAACTAATTTGAGAATAAGAATTACATTTGTAATTAGATCTATAATATTCCATGTACCTCTACAGACACTACGGGATAAATAAACTGCCTCTTAATCTTATAACATCTCGTTATTTTATAGCTTCCCCCACCCTAGATTAAAAGTCTAAGCGCTGACCGAGCTATACCAGGTATTTATTGTATTTGTTATTAGTTGTCTATGCTCATTTAAGCTGTCACCTGGCGCCCGAGATTATTGGTTTTGTTAGAATTTGTGGTGCCGGACCAGTTAGTTCATTCATTTGTATTCAACATAGACATTCATTAGTTAAAAACATATTTTTTTATTTTTTTAATATTACATTACATTGCGGTAACAGCCCATTACATAAATGAAGAGATGGAATTGTGTTAGTATACATTGGAATGTATTCAATATGAAGATAAGCACACAAGTGAAAATCTAGCAGAATTTTTAAAAGATTGTTTTAGGCGCTGGAATATTAACTTTAAAGTTAGCGCTGTCGTGTCGGATAATGCAGCGAATATAACGGCCGCAATACGTTTGGGAGGGTGGAGGCATATTAGATGCTTTGCCCATCAAATTAACCTAGTTGTTAGGAAAGGCTTAGGAGAAGTCTCACCAATAATCGAGTCAAGAAGATAGTTGAATTTTACGAAAGAAGTACTAAAGCAAAATATAAATTAAATGAAATTGAAAAACAATTAGGTCTTCCAGAATTAAGGTTAAAACAAGATATGGAAACATGCCGGAATTCTACGTTCCAAATGTTAGATCGCATTATGAAAATTAAAGAAGCTGCGGTATCGGCAACGTTTTCAGAGAGGAGCGACTTAATGATTAGCTCTGAAGAATTAACAGTAATTGAACAAATACTTCCAATTTTAAAGCCATTCAATGATATTACAAATGATTTTTTTTCAGAAAAATCGATAACTATTTCAAAAGTAATCGTTTTCTGTAAAATAATGATAAACCATATAACTAGACATCGTGCAGAACCTGTAATAACATCTTACTCACAACCAGTTAAATGTCCCACTAAAAAACTTTATGATGATATATTTAGGTGATTTGGTGATATCGAATCATCGGTGTTACATGAAAAGCCAAGATACTTGATACGATATTAAAAAAAAAACGGATTTAACTGCGTTACCAAATATGAAAACGCGGTTAAGGCAATGATCATTAAAAAACATCTGCAAAAGCCAGCGTCTCAATTTCTATTGAAATTGTTTCCTCAGTCAGCCCCCAAATATTTGCAGAAGCAAATGACAACCTTTGGCATGATATTGACAAAGAAATCTTGGCAACGGTACCTTGGTAATCTACTGCTCAAGCAATAATTGAAGTAGAGGCTACTAAAAAGAAGACTTAATACCAATAAAATAGGATCCACTAAAATGGTGGTATGACCGAAAACAATATAAAATATTTATACCAATATATGTTTAAACGACTATGCATACCCCCTACCTCCGTGCCATGCGATAGGATTTCTTTGAAGGATGTTAATATTTTAAGCCTGAAAAAGTATCACAGCTACTTTTTTACAAGGAAACATGTAAAGAGATATCCACTCTGATTACGTGTTGCTATGTAGAACTAATTTATTAAAACTTTCTTTGGTTATTAAAAGAATATACAAAAATTAACAAATATAAAAAAAAAAACAAAAAAAGCTCATTAATTATTATAAATACAATCGAGTTTTAAAGACGCCTTTTAAAGTGAAATATATAACATATGATTTATATTTGTCACTTTAATTTTCAGTCCTAAGCCTGAAGAAAGTGTACATAATATAATTATTCGTACTTGCTGTATACAAACGTAAAACAGTTATGTCATGTCTCTACAATGTTTATTCTATGTCGCAGATATAATAATGTACCTATAATTAATCAACAGGTATTACGGCAGTGTATCATTGGTCTTTATAATAAACGGTCGTATGTGTACCCTAAAACTATTTCTCTGATTCCATCATCCCTGAAGCGGTACAATTGTGACCCCGACACAAAAGTACAATGACCACTCAACAGAAGAACGAACCCGAAGTAGTAAGAGAGCTGGCTACCGTAACCGTATTATCAAGGATTCCAGAGTTTTGGAGCAATCAACCTCGCCTGTGGTTTGTGCAGTGTGAGGCTGTGTTAAGCCCTCAAAAATTGAGCGACGAAGCTCGGTTCAACCTAGTAGTTACAAAACTAGGCAAAGAAGTTGTGCAGCAAGTAAGTGACCTTCCTTTAAACCCACCCGCCCGAAACAAAAAAAAATCGAGGCCTTGAAGTCGCAGCTGCTGAATATATATGAAGAATCTGAAATTCGACAATTTCAGAAACTCCTAAGCGAAATGGAGTTGGGCGACCAGAAGCCCTCACAGCTTCTGCGTCGAATGAAAGACCTCGCGCGACCTGCTCTGAAAAAAGATGAACAAAGGAAGGAAAACTAAAACGGGCACATTCGCAGGCGGAGATATGTGCCATAACTCCGGTTAGCCGCCTATGTATCAAAGACAATAACCACGGACTTAATTTTTTAGTGGACACTGGATCCAATATTTCCGTTTTGCCCGTGACAAAAAGACCTTTCTATAGTGACGAGTGTAGTGACTATAAACTTTATGCTGCTAACGGAAGTGAAATTAGAACCTACGGCATCAAAACGTTAGAATTAGATTTTAAATTGCGTCGGCCATACCGCTGGTCATTCGTAATAGCAGACGTAAAGCAACCGATTCTTGGCGCGGATTTTTTAAGTCACCATAGGATATTAGTTGACCTATACGGTAAGAAACTCATAGACTCGGTGACTAATTTAAGTTCTATTGCAAGTGTAACGTTATCAACAACCGTCAATTCGAACGATAGACTTGAATAGTGAATACAGTGACTTGTTATCAGAAGTTCTTAAGTGAAAGTGGTCTTACTATACAGAAATTTAAAGACTTTATTTTGAGATTTGGCTTCCCTGTTACCCTAGCCTACCCTTTAAAAAAAATTGTAGCATGGTAGGAGTTGAGCCTGACATGACAGCTCCCCCCTATGGAACTGTCATGTCCATTACGTGAGGCGTTCAGGGAGGGGGGGGGGGGGGGTGGAGGAGGCCGAATCTCATCTAATCTTACTTTGGGGAGAGGTCGGTCTTGGCAAATATCACGTAATTTTTTATCCACAAGAAACAGTAAAATTGTGAGAATTCTCGGTTAAATTAAGTATAACGTGTTCTTCCAAATATGGCCAAATCATATACGATAATATTTATCATCATTTTGCGAGTGCCGCAAAGTTGCACAGTAGCCCGTCGTCCACGTTCGACGCCCACAAAACACTAACTGCACAAGCGCACACATTGTTCAAAGTGCGTCCCTCACGGATTGTCACAAGACGAGCTACTGAGCTATTACATAGACATGTTGGTTCCAATAGTCACTCTTGAGATAGTACATGAGTTTCCTTGGACTGAATTGGAATTAATATTCTTTCATTAATTTCAGTAGTTACGATTTAAGCATTTTATTGTTTAATTCTCACTGTGATTCTAGCCTACTTTCGAAGCAATCCTAGTCTGAACTAGTCTTAAATAAAAATACTTCGCAAATTATTGATTATTAGTTTTTAGAATAAATCGCCTTTACACCAAAAGCACATTTAAAAAAATCTCACGTGAGGTTGAGGGAAGGGTTGAATCAAATGTCACGACATCCCAACGTTAATTTCGGAGGCGCGGCTAGGCGAGGAACTAACAATGTGTCAACGAAATTACAATCATCTCTGAAAAAAACCATTGATAGGTATTGGACGTGGAGCCCATGTAATTCACAATGCAATAAAATCTGCTGCAGACAGGCTACCCTTAGATTACGAAAGCATCATTGTGAAGATATATTAATTTTTTTATATTTACACGATTCGAGTTGAAGCTCTAAAGGAATTTTGCGCCGAAACTGAAATGGAATATCAACAAATGCTCGGCTATAGCTAAACCAGATGGCTTGCTCTTATGCCTGCCTTGGAAAGGGTTTTAAAAATATATCAGCCATTAAAAAACTACTTTTTGAGCATTGAAAAATGTCCCCTGTTCCTTAATATTTTTTCGAAGATCCCACATCCGAATTGTGGCTTTATTTTTGACACGGTCAGTCAGCAAGTTTTCATCAAGCTGTATTGAAACTGGAAAGTCAGACGGTATCAGCGATTGAAGCTGCAAAAGAAATCAATCAATTAAAAGACAATTTGACTCAGAAACAGACTAATCAGTTTCTTCCATTAATGGTCTGTCAATTAATAGTGAAATCGAAAGATAATGTTACTGACTGATGAAGAGTTTGTGAAAAGAGCGGCTAAAGAATTTTGATGAACAAATTGTGGCCATCTGCGAAAACCCAGTTACAAATTTCAGTTCTAAAGGCGATGTTGATAATTAAGATGAATATAAAAATAACGTGCCAAGAGTTTTATTCTTACTTAAAATCATCACCAGCTATATTAAAGCAAATTTGTTCCTCTGATAAATATAAATATAACTAAACGTTTCGGGTATACATATTTTTTAATTTGTAACTTTTAAACTAACTTACTTGTTTTTAATAAATAACATTAAAAAAGTGTTTTTTTTTTCATTAACTACCTGTTAATCAACCTAAATAAACCAATGTCCCGTTTTGTCTACTGCAAACTCAGGTAACTGTGGAAACCTATCACCACAGTTGCCGCAAATGCTTTTTTTAACACAAGTCGTCTTGATCTACTATGTATCAATGTTATCAACACCTTAACAGCCACTGACACTGACTTTTGTGGCCTTGAATGAAACTGATTTACCAAAGTGTTTTTTCCAGATAGTTCCATTAAACCCAAATTAGTAATTACTCAAAGTTTTCTGATATTCTGAGTATTGCCGATACAGATAATTCCGAATATGGGACATATGATGAATATATTGCAATATGTTTAAATGAAATAGATGGTGAGGAAAACTTGGCGCCAGATAATAAAATGTACCATTTGGAGTTCATGATGTTAGTTATTTTCCAATGGTGATCTTCACATACCCAAACGTGGAGGACGTGTACAAAGTAAATCGTGATGAAGTGGGAGAGCCATGCTTCGGCACGAATGGGCCGGCTCGACCGGAGTGATATCACGGCCTCACAAAAAACCGGTGTTAAGCAATTCTTTCGTTGCATTTCACTAAGCGAGTGAGGTGACTGGGACTCCAAGGGCAGCAACGCACTTGTGACTTTTGAGTTGCAGGTATCCATGGGCGGCGGTAGTTGTTTACCATCTGCTCGTTTGCCCCCTTATAACATAAAAAAATGGTTTTTTTTTTTTATATATATTTACAACTTTAAACAGTTGAAACAAAATTGGCATTATTTAATTAGTTAAATGCTGATAGCATTCAAAAATTTACACTGTTAATAAATTGATACCAAAAGTTAATAAGACCGAATATTTATTAAACATATGCAATAGTAACCAAGCGGTGATAGTAACGAAGCAAATTGCAAATATTGCAAACGACAAAGAAATATTTTAAAGACATCAATCTTCGAAAACAAAAAAAAATCATACCAGATCGTAAATTAAAACCTTGCAAAGATAAACCTAAATAAACCTTGTAAATACAAATGTTGGTCAATATTTAAGAGCAGCAAAGACAGCAGATTTTGAATGAATGCTGGAGGAGCGAATGCTGGATGCTTAGGTGAGATTAAAAAAACAGTGGACTTTTATAGGGAACAGTGATAATGCACGTATTATCTTATTACTTCTCCAAATTTAACTTTATCACTTTTTCTGACTAATTAAATCTACTGTTCTTATACTATTCTTATATTTTTTGTTTTGTTTATGTTTGATAAGTCTAGACTAGCGATTTTAGGGATTCTGATATCAGACCCAGAAGTCACCATATTGCAATTATGTCACAAGACGCGCGTATGATCACTACCGAGCACTACGCTCAAGGAGGTCCACCCAAACAAAGTAGAGGAGGCCGCCGTGGCAGAGGCCGCGGACGAGGCCGAGGTGCCCAAAACAATAATCAAGCTAGAAAAGATTATAATAATAAGCGCATGGAGGATCACCGACTCAAGACCGGATACCAAACATTAATAAACAACCAAGAGGATATTAAATCTGAGATTTTCGCATTTATTTCTAACGAACAACTGGAAAAACTAACTCAGAATGTCAATAAGAAGCCGCAGATGTTACCCGTTACTTCACAGGTAGTAGGATTAGCTACCGCCAACTTAACTTACACTACCAGGCATTATCGTCGGAACCTAGAGATTCCAGACATTTATCAGATGTACCGTTTCTTTCTTGCAGCCTTTGAGGCTAAGATAATTAGAATACGCAAAGAGTCAGGATTAATGCTCCGCAACGCGTAATCAATATATGATCACTCCAATGCGAAATCAGTAGAAATTTGGCACAAACGATTTTCTCATTTAAGCTATAGTAGTTTGAAAACTTTAGTAAATAAAAATATGGTTGATGGTTTAACTGATTTGAAAGATTTTTTTTAGAAAATAGACATTGTGAACCATGCATTCTTGCTATAATTACACGCCTTCCTTTTAATGGGAAAATGTATAAGGCTCGGAAACCCGGATTTTACCCACTTCACCGCAGTTTACTTATTAAGAGACAAGTCTGAGGTTTTTGAATATTTTAAGACTTATTATAATTATGCTTGTAATCATTTTGGTCATGGTATATTGAAGTTAAAGTCAGATAATGCTGGTGAGTATATTTCTAGAAATTTTAAATCTTTTTGCGATGATAAGGGCATAGTATTACAGTATACTGTTGCATATAATCCCGAGATGAACGGAGTAGCTGAAAGAATGAATCGTACTCTGACTGAAAAAGCTCGTGCGTTATTGTTAGATTCACAGCTTCCTAAAGAGCTTTGGGGCGAGGCCCTGCGATATGCGGTATATGTCACTAATCGCAGTCCCACTGCTTCGCTCAACGTTACACCATTTGAAATGTGGGAGGGAAGACGTCCTAATGTTTCTAATTTTAGAATATTTGGGTCATCTGCGTATGCCCATATTCCCCAAAAACTCCGAATGAAGTTAGACCCTCGTGGTGTGAAATTGAAAATGGTTGGGTATGCTCCTGGGGGATACAGATTATGGGATGCTAATGAAAGGAGGATACACATAGAACGAAATGTATTGTTTAGGGAAGAAACATGTTCAGAGTCCCCTGAAACTATTAGTATTGATGTAGAATCTGTCTCGGATAAGAAAGAAAAAAATAGTAGTAGTAGTCATGAGAAAACCAAAACCCCTTTAACTTATGATAATTATTTAGAGTCATTAAAACCTGAGGGAAGGGATACAGATGATGTTAATTCTAGGGAGAAAAGAAATAAAAAAATAACCAAAATATTTACAAGATTTTGTCACTAATGATTCTGATTTGGATGGTATATTAATGGCATCATTTTTATCTTGTTCTAATGGTCCCGGAAAAGTATGATGATATAGATTCTTATGACGATAAAGATAGGTGGTATGAAGCGGTAAATGAAGAAATTAAATCTTTAGAGGATAAGTTGTAAAAAATCAAGAGATGCTAAGTTAATTGATTGTAGATGGATTTTTACAAAAAAGGCGGGTGATGTATATAAAGCTAGATTAGTTGCAAGGGGGTTTCAAACAAGAAGGTAGTTTTACCGACATTTATTCTATCAGTTCTTTTATCAGTTGCTGTTCAAAGGAATTATTTAATTCATCAAATGGATGTTAAAGGTGCTTTCCTTCATGGTGAAATTGATGATATTGTATACTTAAAGCACCACCCACCTGGTGTAAATATAAATAAAAATTATGTCTTGAAATTGAAAAAATCACTTTATGGTTTTAAAACATCTTCAAAAAAATTGGTACAATAAATTTTATGATTTTATGAAAAGTAAAGGATTTCAAAGGGCTGAAAGTGATTATTGTTTATATTTTTGGGATGGTATTTACATTTTGTTATATGTGGATGATTTATTAATTATAGGTGAGGATAATTCAAGGATAAATAATTTTAAAGAAACTATTTAAATACAGAATTTAAAATGAAAGATCTAGGATCTAAAAATTTAAAATATCTGGGTATTAATATTATTCAGGATAGTGACTGTTTGTATATTAACCAGAAAGAGTATTTAGAATCTATATTGACAAATTTTGGTATGTCTGAAACAAATCCTAGTGAATCACCCATGGAAGTTAATATTAATCTTGATGATTGTACGGTTGATTACTCTTAAGAGCATAAATGCAGAGCTTGTATAGGTTCTTTAATGTATGCTGTAGTAGGTTCAAGACCTGATTTGTGTGCTGCTGTTTCATATTTAGCAAGATATCAATCTAGACCATCAGAAAGGTTATGGCAATGCTTAAAAAGGATTTTAAGATACATTAAGGGTACCATTAATTATAATTTAAAATATAATAAGAACTGTAATTCCGAACCACTATAATTTAGTAGAATTATTTTCTCCGTGCAGTTTGGGTCATAAACCATAGCTCGGCCCCGGCCCGGCTAGGGCGGTGAGCATGTTGCGCGGGCGCAACGCCATTATCGATAAGAACAAATGAGTCATCAAAGGCAGGTACACGGCGGCGGGGCGGTATACAAAGGTGGTGAGACATTGTTATGTTATAAGTAGTGATGTGCCGGATATCCGTATCCGTATCCGTATCCGCGGATATCCAAGGGAGAAGAGAGATCCGTAACGGTATCCGTATCCGTGACTTTTTTGGCGGATCTTTCAATACATATTATATAGATGAAATTCTATATAGGTGATTTTGTATTCACTGTAAAACTCTTAGGTATGTGTTTGTACCACTATAGACAGCAACTTTTTTTCTGGCCAACGTCAAAATGAAAAAAAAAATGGTTCTCCATTCAAATGACCAATCAAATGTTGTTAGTTTGTATGGAGAAACAATTTATTTTCTTTCGTTTTCGGTGTTAGTCCAGAAGAAAAGTTGTTGTTTATAATGTTACTAATACGCACTTTAGAGGTTTTCAGTAAATTTAAAATAACCCTGAATAATGGTTATTAGGTAGCTATGAAAAACTATTGAATTCTGTTCAGATTACTTTTTATTTCTTAAAACAAATATTTGGCACCTTTGTATTGCAATCATTTATCGTACTACACTAAATCAACTAGGCAGGTCGTAGGTACTGAAAGAGCTATCTTTATAATGAGATCAATCAAACATCTTTGTATTAGCTTATTAAAATAATGAAATATTTAAATATCAACGGCAAAGCGTCAAGTGGCGACAACTATCAAGGTCACGGGCTCCGATTGAGTAAGAAACTTAAGATCCGTATCCGTATCCGTATCCGCGGATCTTGACACCAAATATCCGTATCCGGATCTGTATAAGTCATTAATTTTTGTTCCCCACTGCAAATTATAGTACATATGTCGAAGAGAAATGTGTTTTTGTGCATTCGCTCTCTGAATTTCTTTAGTGACACAATGGCTACTCCTTTGTTTTGTATCAAAACGGCAGAATTTATTGAAAATAATATTTTGTCTGTTGCCACCAATATACCAGCACAAGCACGTGTTGTTATCAACAATGTTTTAAAATTTTTCACTGAAATGAAAATAGATCCCCAAAAGTTACAAAGTGTTAATTTCTGCCGTTCTCGTGAACTTGCTGCGGCGATATGTGGTGTGAGTGTTAGAACGGTCGACAAAATTAAAAAAGAGTGTACAAAGGGAGAAGTTAGCTCTTCGCGAGAAAGCGTCTATCGGCCTTGTACAGTAACTGCGTTAGACGCCTTTGACAAAAGTGTAATGAAACAAATAGTGTCATCGTTTTATTGCAACGGTGAATATCCTTCCACGGCTAAAATTTTGAGTAGAGCAGTAGAAAGAATTGACGGATTCCAGTGTTCTATTTCTTCTATGCGTAAAATACTCATAGAACTTGGGTATAAGTACACACAAGCTCCAGATGGTCGTAAACAATTGATGGAAAGGACTGACATCGTTTGTGCGCGGTTACAATTCCTGAGAAAACTCAAGACCCTGAGAGATAGTGAAGACACTAGACCTAGAATTTATTTAGATGACTTGGGTGAACCAAAATCACAGCCGCAAACGAATTTGGCTGGACAAGGATGGACAAGGCGGCTTAAATACAAAAACGGGAAAGGGGGGGCAGACTAATTGGTAAATATTCTTTCATCTTTTATATGTAAGAAATACGACTTAATGATAATTTAAGACAAAATATGATATTCATTTAATTATGTTGTTTCAGTTTGTCATGCAGGCTGCGCAAAGTATGGTTTTATACCCGAAGCCAGATGGGTCTTCCGCGCTGTGAAGTCTCAGAACGAGGACTACCATTCAGAAATGAATGCCAAAGGCTTCACACACTGGTTTACAAAGCTGCTGCAGAGTCTTGAAGAACCATCAGTCATCACAATGGACAACGCACCCTACCACTCCCAGCAAATAAATCGGGCACCGACATCAGCTAATAAAAAGAGTGAAATTCAGGAGTGGCTCCGCGAACACGGGATTGAGCTTAGTGATAGTGAGCTCAAGCCGGATCTATTACAAAAGGTATTTCAGATTTTATTATTTAAAGTTTGTAATACATTTTTGTTCTTTTAAATATGTATTTAGTTGAATATACAAACAACGTTATATTTCCAGGTGCAACGGAACCGACCAGAAAAAATTTACGAATTGGACCAGTTAGCTTTGGAGTCAGGACACGAAGTGATTCGCTTACCACCTTACCATTGCCAATATAACCCAATTGAGTTGGTATGGGCTCAAGCAAAAAATGAAGTTGCCAGCAAAAACACAACTTTTAAAATTGCAGACGTCGAAGTGCTACTGCATGAAGCAATTTCGATCGTTTCGCAAAAGAACTGGGAAGATTGTGTGAAGCATGCAGAAAAACTCCAAGAGGAAGACTTGAAGAAATCTCATCTGGCAGAAGAATTCGTAATTCATGTGGATGACGATGACTCTGATGATTCTGATGTAGAATTTTAATGTTAATAAGTAGTTTTAGATTTAATTTTAGATATAAGTTGTTATCATTATTATCTTTATTTTCTGTTCATTTTAAACTTAGGTATAAGTATTTATATTTATTTTTAACATAACTTTTTACATTCTTAACTATTGTACTTACGAGGGGTGATCAATAAGTAATGATAATCAATATGAAACAGAACTATTAGATTAAAAAAAGTATTTTATTTTTCAACGTAGTCTCCTTGCAAGTTAATACATTTCCAGCTCCAGATGGTCACTTCCCTTCGCGGCACCGTGCGACTAACGTGTGACTTCGTATGCTAACAATTTTAATATTGTTTTCTGTGCTTTTATGTGACTAGTATCCGGTTTGCGGGCGGCTAAAGGTTGTGTATAGTGTTTCTAAAGAATTTCAGTAAGTTTTATTGTTTTCTAAACATAAATATAGTGCCGAATTCTTTTATTACGACTATTGGTGAGTAAATTTATTATCTTACTAAAAGTGGGTAGGCGGTATCCTTTGTTTTAATTGATTTTTCTCTGCGTATTGTTTATTTTTGAGCTTGTTTTTTTTCTTTTTTAAATTGTTGATTGGTGTGTCTTTGTTTGGCTATGTCGGTCGTTAGCGAGTTGCCGGATCCCGGCGGTACAAGTGAATTTCTAACACCAACCGGGAAAAGGACATTTGGCGAAGTGTCACCTGCGGATTTCACGCCGAAAGACGGAAGCCGTAGACGCATTATTAATTCGGACTTAAGTGGAAATGTTTCGTCTCCTACCGGTCGTGATAACTGTGGGGAGTACAATTACTGTGACTTAGTGTCACAGGCCACCGATTACTTATCAAAAATTAATGAATTAGTTAATGATCAGGGATCTAGGATGAATGTAGGGAATAAAACGGCGATTATGGATATTACTCAACGAATTACCGGTATCGTATCAATGTTAGCAATAAAATCCTTTAGCAACGAAGCGAAGTTAGCGAATTTTGAGCGACAAATGGAGGGTATCGCAACTCAACAAACGAGTTTAACGTACGCGGACAAACTTAAGCTTCGCTTACCACCTAAATCTGCCCCGTGCCCGGTACCTACTGAAGCGCGCGTTCCTAGGCCTTGTGTTATTGCCTATCCCACTACGGAACGCTTAGCGGACTATGCGACCTCGTCAGCAACGAAACAAGCTCTTATGAAGGCTATTAAACCGAGCGATGAGGGTTTCCAAATTGTAGGCGTTAAAAAAACCTCTAAGGCAGGCGTCGTGTTACGTGTAGCTAACGAACGGCAGCTTAAGAAACTGGAATCTGTAGACGCCATTAAATCAGCAGGTTTACGATTAGAAAAACCGAAAGGCCGAAAGCCCCGTATAATTGTAAAAGACGTACCCGGTTCTATGGAAGATCGTGCCTTCCTAACAGCTTTATACCGTCAGAATATCAAGGACGAATTAAAATTAAGTGAGAATGATTTTATTAAGTCAACCAAAATTGTTAGGCATCGTAAACTAGAAAATGGGCGTCAATGGATAGGCTTAGAATTGGAGGCAGCAGTTCGGAAACATCTAGCCAACACAAAAGATAAACTTTATATAGACTGGGCCACTTGTCGATTCATAGACGATATAGAAGTAGTTCGTTGCTTAAATTGTCAGCAATTCGGTCATGTACAAAAGTTTTGCACCATTAAAACCCCTACTTGTGCTAATTGCGCCGCCGCACACGAAACGCGAGCTTGTCCAGATAAAGACACACCAAATTTTAAGCCCACGTGTGCACAGTGCAAGCGGTTCAAAAAACCATCTGACCATCGATGCGGCTCACACGACTGTGCCACATACAAATTAAAACTGGAGCAGCTAATATTAAATACCAATTACTGAATAGTTCAGCTTAAAAAAAAAAAAAAAAAAAAGTTTATAGAGTAACTTACTAAGTAATGGATAATATTTCGATAGGCCAGTTAAATCTTCATAACGATAAAATAGCTACATCAGAATTAGACCGTTTAATTTTAGAACAAAAGTTAGACATTGTCCTTATACAAGAACAATATCAGAGCGCTCGCTTGCGTCGTAATGTAGTACAGCTTGACTGCCGTTCGCAGGCTGGGATATATGTTGCAAGTTCTAATTTTACGGTAACATCTTTGCGTAATCTTATGACGTCACACTGCGCCGTTGCTGAGATCTCATCCTCTACCTGTAAGGTTTACGTAGTGAGCTGCTATTTTCAATATTCACATCCTATTGATCCTCACTTACATCACTTACGTTACGTCTTGCAGTACCTCGTGGGACATAAAATTATCATTGGCGCTGATGTCAATGCGTCATCTTCATTATGGTATGGCAAGTTGCGTTCAACCGACACGGTTCGACGTTGTGCGGTTGAAGATTTCATTGCGGAAATGAATCTTACTATTCACAATACCCCCGATGCACCACCAACTTTTTGCAACCCAATGGGTGAGTCTTCTATTGACGTGACGCTTACGCGCGGCGACGTCTCGATATCCGGATGGCGTGTCCTCCCGGACGCATCCTGTAGTGATCACCGCTTGATCGTGTACGAATTCATACCAAGGGTTGCACGGGATCCACAAAGGGCTCCTTTTAATTTTAGATATAAAACTAAAGGTGCGAACTGGGCTTTGTTTGGTTCACTATTTGCAACTCATACCAAAGACTTCAGTCGCAGTAGTTTATCAGCTGAGGAAAGCGCAGAAATACTATCAGAAACTTTCACATACTGCGCTGATGTATCTATTGGTCGCGGATCTATCACTAACACTCGTAGATGTGATTGGTGGAATGATAGATTAGTCGAACTACGTAGAAGCTACCGGAAAGCTCGTAGAAAATTAAACAATTTTAAAAAACACAACGTAACAGGAGATTTGTACAATAATGCTCTCATTGCTCTTAGAGTTGCCAGGTCCCACTACAGAGCTGCAGTGGAAAAATCGAAGGGAAACTTAATTCAGAAACTTGTCGATAGACTCGATAGAGAGGGCCCGTGGTCACCTTTGTATCACGAATTTAAGGCAAATAGATCAATCGACCTTGCATACATACAGAACATCAAAATTAATAACAGATATACCACAGGAGTAGAAGAAACAGCAGAATATCTTTTAGAATCACTCGTACCTGACGATCGGCCGGAAAACGACACTGATCATCACCGACAGATCAGGCAGTGGGCCATCGAACCACCACTGTCTCCAATGTCTGATTTACCATCTTCAGACGAATTTCTCGGTATCATTAGATCCTTGCCACTAAACAAGGCTTCGGGCGATGATAAAATATCTAACAAAATGATCAAAGAAGCTTGTAAACTTTCGGGTGACACGATTTTCACTGTCTTTAAACGTTGCATTGCTGAAGGAATATTTCCTCGTATATGGCGGTGCGGTAATATTCGTATAATACCAAAAAGTGGCGACAAGCCACCGGATGATCCTAAATCCTACCGACCAATCACATTGTTACCATCGTTAGGAAAGCTTTTAGAACGTCTTGTAGTGCCCCGGCTTCTGCCAGGTGGAGTCAAATTTCATGATAGACAGTTTGGATTTGCGTTGGGTAAATCGACAACTGACGCTGTTATATCGGTTAGAAAGTTTGTCACAGAGTCAAAATTTCAATACGTGCTGGCTATTTTCTTAGATATATCTGGCGCCTTCGATAACGCATGGTGGCCCATGCTGTTGCTGAAATTAAAATCACGGGGGTGCTTTAAAAATATTTATTCCCTTATATCTTCGTACTTTTCACAAGGTACTACTAAACTAAGACTTGGTCATCATTCTGTGTCGAAGGCGCTTACAATGGGATGTCCTCAGGGATCGGTGCTAGGTCCATACTTGTGGAATATCGGCTTCGACGATTTTCTTGCGATACCAATACCATCCGGGTGTACTCTGAACGCGTATGCTGATGACGGCTTATTACTGGTGGAATCTGATACTAGGGCGGGGCTTGAGAGATTAGCCAATAGATGTTTGAACTTGATATCTCAATGGGGTGAACGTAATCGCTTAAATTTTGCACCCAACAAAACCTTCCAGCTACTTTTAAAAGGTAACCTCAAATCACCGCCAAGCATTAGATTTGACAATGTTACTGTAAAAAATAAGGCCTCAGTGTGTTACCTAGGATTAGTTTTAGAAAGAAACTTTTCATTTATCGAACATATTAAAATAGTTAATGAAAAGTCTAAAAAGAGTTTCTGTGCATTGACAAGGATATCAACTGCGACATGGGGTCTATCATTTATTACTTTAAAGATCATATACGGAGCTACTTATTTAGGTTCTATGTGCTATGGTGCACCTGTATGGGCCGATAGGGCGACCGTAGGCGCTGTCCGTCGCAAACTGTTACAAGGCCAACGACTTGCACTGATATTCTTGTGCAAGGCATATAGGACGGTTAGCACCGAGGCTTTGCCGGTGTTGGCGGGTGTGCTTCCGGTCGATCTCGAAGTGCAGAGACGTGCAGCCATGTACTATTCAAGACAACAAAACATGGAATGCGATTTTTTGGGCGCGCGGGATCGCGGTAAAATTACAAGATTGCTTCAACAGCAGTCCGATGTCTATAATGACCTCATAGACGAATGGCAACAACGCTGGGATGAATCATCCAAGGGGCGCCATCTTTACCAATTCTTTCCATCTGTTCGCGAACGGTTGTCGAGGACATGGCTTGAGGTGGATCACTGTGTCGCTCAATTTCTTACGGGTCATGGTAACTTTAAGAGCAAGCTTTATTCATTTAAATTAGTCGAGTCACCATTGTGTCAATGCTCAACACCTAACTCTCACTATGAACAGTCTGCTCATCATATCCTCTGGGAATGTAGTCTTTGGTGTGATGAACGTAATATAATGCTGAATACCTTGCAGGTGACATCTGGGGCGGTATACTATGGGGATCTTGTGTCAACTGGGGTGAATTTCCGTGCGTTTAGGCGATTCTGTCATACATATTATAGAAATCAAATATAG